CCTGTAGGAAGGTTTAGTTGGTAGATCCCAGAGCTGCTGTTACACTACAGATGCAACTTTTAGGGGAGCTGTGATTACCTTTTAAAAATCCTTTATAGATTATGTTTTTTCCATCATATGATTTACATTTAAGGAATAGTTTGACATTTTGGGAAAGTGTTTATTCGATGTCTTGCTAAGATTAAGAAGATCAATACAACGCTCATGTCTCCGCAGACACTTCAAGGTTGTTTTTATGGTTTAGCATTAAATTACACAATTGTCTATTTATCTGACAAAAATATATATGCTGTATCATAAAACTCTGTTGACTTATTTCCCTCAAAACCAGATTCAAAACTGCCTCAACTTTGGAAACGGGTTAAAATGTTTTCTTGCGACGGACATTATTTTTTTCATTCAGTCAGTTAGAGAAGTCTTTGAAGTTTATGAAAAATAGCTTCAGAACGATGGTACTATAATTGTTCAAATACTTTCTCCCCTTTTTAAAAGATCACCCGGTAGTGATTTTCTATCAGAGAAAATGGAGCCTTAGCCATGTGACTTCAATTTAACTAAGCGGCTAATACAGTCCTTTAGCTTAGCTTAGCTTAGCTTAGCATAGGCCCCACAACATTGTTGTTTTTCCATTATTTTGTGCAGAATAAATTAAACATAACATGTTAATATTGTGCTTTAGATTTCCTGGTAGGCGTATTATGTTACCTATAGCCAGCCTAGGCTAGCTGATTTCCCCCAGATTAAGCTAAGCTAACTAGCGTTTGGCTGTAGCTTTATATTGACCGGCCAGGCAGGAGAGCAGTATCAATCTTTTTACTAACTTGGCTAGAATAAACATATTTCCCAAAATGTTCGACTAGTCCTTTAAGTTTTGTCTGTTTGTTATTTTTTGTTGTTGTGTTTAAGTTGTTTAAAGTGTTTTTTTATTTGTTTTCTTACATTTATCTGTGATGTACATAGTTTTAACTGCTTTGTCCCATTTTCAGATGGCTACGCCTTCTCTCAAGACGAGAACGGAGTGGTGTCTCAGTCTGAGGTCATCAGAGCGTACGACACCACCAAAGAGAGGACCAACGAGTGGTGAGCCGCCGGCCTCCGCTCGGCCTCCGCTCGGCCTCTCCGGAGCCCCAGCAGCTGTTATAATGGCGATATTTACCGAGGGAAGACGAGTCGCCTCCAGCACTGAGGGAATTTTAGGAATATACGGACAGAGCATCTTTGAAAAAGGGAAAAAAAAACAAGGAACAAAACTAATTGTGTTCACTATCAGCTGTAGTTGTGTGTCCAGCAGACATGATGAGCACTGTGCTTTCTTAGCAGTCTGTGGTCTGAAGTTCTTCACTGTTCTCGCTCAGTTTCTTGGAGTGAACGTCTCCTTTCTATTCAAAATCATGTAATTAAATGAAACACCTAAACACTGGACGATGATTGGTTTTAGAGGATGTAACCTTGTGAAGGATTGCCAAAGAGCAGTCGTTTATACAATCTTCCAAGTACTAGTGAATTCGGACAACTTTAAACCAAATGTACTCACACTCCTGAGTGTATTCCAGCACTAAACGGACCACTTCAGAGCAGACATTGTAATATTTAACTTTTCTTTTTGCACTTAAGGAAGCATCTATTGTGTAAAGCCTTACATTTGCTCATGCCTTTATCCTTGTTTCTATAAAAAAAACACATTTGTTTCTTTTTTAGTTTCATTTTTAAAAAGTATGTAGATATCGTGCCTGGTTTTATTTTATTTTGTTCCTTTTTTTTTAATTTCTTTGTTAAGAAGTTGCCTCCTGCAACTCACTGTAGTCCTGTTTCCACCGTTTTAACAGCAGAAGCATTGCTCTCGACAAATAATTGCATTCCACACATCACTCCTGTCTCAACAATCACAACGGTGCCTACGTAGAACCTTTCCCCAATAGATAGCCAAGAATAGTTTAGCCAGCTAGCTTAGACCAGTGCTCCACACACTCCTACTGAAGACAAAATCACTGTCTCCCCACCACAGTATTGCACTTGTACAATGTGAAAACTACTGTGCCTTGTGGCACGTGTGTAAACTTTAAGATTTGTTCCTGCGCAGGTGAACGAGCGGGAGGCTCTCTGATGGTGTTGTTGGAGCTGGTGATAGTGTTTCCCTTAAAATGGAGATTTTATCCTTCTAACATAAGTGCCATTAGCTTAAGGGAGAGAGAAATATTAGCCAGGAACTCACGACAATATCAAAACTACTTTGTCTCTATAGTTATTTTGTGGATTTGTATTTTTATATTGGAGATGTATGAATTTTGCATCGACTGGCTTTGTAATGAACTGTCTGTAACTTTTAGTTGTTTTTCATCCTCTGATAAACTGGCAGGATAGAAAAGATCGAATGAGGAAACTGAGCTTTCTTAAATGTCTTGTCATTATTAATATTAATATTGTTACAGCGCGATTTATTTATAATTGACTACTTAATGTCTGTGTGATTGCTTTCTTCTCCCTATGGGAGATCAAATCTGATGGTGAGTGTGTCAGTGTATTGCCTGCATGTGCATGTGCTGTATGTGAGTGTGTGTGTGTGTGTGTATGCGTGTGTGTGTCACCTCTACTGTGGATAACCTCTATGTATGCATTGCATGTCTGTGTCCTCTATGTGAGACCGGGAGTTTCTGGCGTCCACTGATGTTTCTTTTGTCGTGTGTGTGAGAGAATGAATGTTTGTGTGTGTGTGTGTGTGTGTGTGTGTGTGTGGCTTGCTCCAGTTGACCGTCTGCACGACTCCAGGTATAGCTATGGTGTACTACTGTGTGCTGATGCATGGCCCGTATGGGGAAGTGTGTGTGTTAGTGTGCGGTATGACTGTGTGTGCGGTCAAACTCTCGACCAGGACTGTGAGAGTTTCTGTTACTCAGCTCGCTTCGACAGGAGATGTTACACAATGCACTCGATGTACCTTTCCAGTAGTGGACATCTGGTATTATCTGGTTTCAGTATATGATTTATCTTGGGTGTAAATGTTTGTAACTTGTTTTCTTCATGCAGTGTACCTCTGCTTTGCAGGAAGACTCTTCAGTGAGGGTTAATGATATTTTTTCTCTGCTGGTCTTTAATGTTACAACTTAATTGGTCGTCAAAAGTTTCCAAAACGCTGAATGTGGACTGTTGCTTTCTTTCTTCAGAAAACATAAAACACACGTTGTTGTCTGTGAAAGTCGTGGGCTGCATGAATGGAAAACACAAACTGTTCTCTGAAATGTTTAACTGTACTACTTTAATTCTCCCTCAAGTGTTGATCACTTTACAAAAGAGAAAAAAACGCACCTTTTAACTTTACTTTTAAATATTTGTTTATTTTTTCCGTCATTTCGTTCGATGATTGTTCTGCATGTTGGGACTGCAAACTTATAAGTGTTGTCTTTTACTGCCATGAAGGACTACTGAAATAAACTTTACAATCATGGAGGAACATCGTTGCATATTCTTCTTCTTTGTGATGTCTTGTGTCTCTGTGTGGCGACAAACAGGACGGTGAGAAAGCTAAACAGGAAAAAGCAGGGAGAACAAGTCTGCCTGCGGGTCACACATTATACCAGTCCATATTTGTTATGCTGGTGGAGTCAGTCAAGCTTTCACTAAAACACAAAGTGATCTGTTTTTGAATCGGGCATCCAGAATAATTCAAAGAGACTCAAATAACAATAAAAACACCAAAAATGAATCCAGAAAAAACTTGAAATAAATCAATAATACATTGCATGTGAATTCAAGGGCTGTCCTGGGGTTATTTCCAGCAGGTTTAATCTTGGCGTGTTTCAACACGTTACAACATACAGTATCTTAAAGGTGGGGTAGGTAAGTTTGAGAAACCGGCTCGAGATACACTTTTTGTTATATTCCATGGAATGCTTTTAACATCCCGATAGCAATGAATATCTTAAGTGCTTTGACAAAAAATCCATAAAAAAAAGTCATCTGTGGAAGCCGTAGTACTGTAAAAAGCACGACCAATCATTTTAGCCGGCCTGGTGTGTTGGAGGAGGGGCTCTGTAAGGAAGTGGCAGATTTTTTCCGGCTGTGTATTTTCAAATTCTAGCGCACTCGAGCTGGTTTCTCCAAAATAAACTACCCCACCTTTAAGCCTCGATTAAATGCATCTTTTTTTAATCCATTGTGGCAAATGGGAAAACCACCACAGAACAAAAACTATTATAGAGTGAGGGAGAGTAAACACATTTGTTGGCAATTGTTTAAAAAAGAAGATGGAAAAATGATATCAAAATTGGTTTTATTTCATGAAAATCTAAATCCGTCATTATTTATGATTGATTAAGTTATGAGAGGAATGTTATGGCTTTAGGTCTGTTTTTTGATGAAATATAAGAAGCAGAGGGATAATCAGGACTCTAACTTGGAAAAATAACCTGAACCTTTTTTGAGTCTGGGCATGACATGAAGACATGAAAGAATAAACCTATCCAAAAGATTTAGGAACTTGTATTATTTCCTTTCATAAGCAGAGTTGTGTGAGAGATGAAGACGATATGACAGCTGCGAGTATAAACAAGACCTAAAGAAGATATTACTGGAATCACTCAAGTAAGTTGTATTTTGTGATAGAAAAGCAACGTGATAGCAGCACTTGAATGCAGCTTTCAAACATCCTCAAAGTGAACAGTGTGCAGGTTTCACCACACACTGATTGCCAGGTCTATTTCACAGTCAGATAACCGGAGAACAGACCCCTCTTTGTGGAGGTTTTGCTATACCTGTTGGTGCAACCTAAACCTCTATTTCTGGGGCGAGTTGTTTTTAACACTGTGACCATGCCATGCTCATTGAACACTGACAATGACTGATCTCAGCGCTGCATTCCTGCTGTGAAGTCTGGCGCAAGAGTGAGCGACAGGTAGTGAGCTGCGCGGCCGCTCCGGTTTCCTTTCTGTCTGAGTGATGATGATGAGGCTTCGTTCAGAGAGCCACATCTCACTTAACAAACATTTATCAGTGCACAGAAAGTATTGAGATACAACGTTTTATTGGCTGTAAATTAGGGAATCAATATGACAACCTTGCTCTGGGAACAATGTTTGTACAAAATCATATAAAAGTACAAATTTCCTCCAAATATAAAGTCCTCTGTGTGTCCGGTCGAGGTCCTTGCGATTGTCAAAAAAAGCAATACTTCCCTGGTTTCCAACATCTACTTTAAATCATGTAGCAATGAGTCTCAGCGCCGCTTGCCTGTGAAGTGTTTCAGTTTTATGAGGAAGGTTTGTGATAACTTGGCAAGATTTTAGTCTGTGTTGTAAGCTGTCCAGCCCTTTATCAAAATAGACGGTAATGCCAGTGAGGTCTGTTTACAATATAAGATAAAAGTGCACAAGATGGGACTCCAGCCTCTGACAGGTCTGCTGATGTGTCCTGTGATGCAGAAGGGGGGAAACGCCTCAGGCCGCGCCGCTTTGTCGTACTTTATCCCCCTTGTCGGACCCTCTGTGTCCTTTTAGCCGGCCCAGGCCTTCCACCCAAACACCACCAGCTGTGTTGCAGTGTGTCTGTCCTCGCCGGCTCACATCCAACCTTCTAGAAATCTTGTAATCCCTCTGTTTGCCCCGCCGGGAGCTGTCAACTCTGTCCGAAGTCTGCAAAGCCCTTCGCTGAGGAGAAGGGGTCGGGCTGCAGGGGGAAGAAGTACTGCTGCGGCAGGAGGAAGGCCTGGGCCGAGTGAGAGGACATGGAGGTCTGGTGGAGCTGCAGCTGGGTGTGGGTGAGGGTGGAGGGGAGTGGGTGCTGCATGCCCCCTGATGTGGGTGGGGACATGTAGGGGGGAGGTGGAGGTGGAGGCAGAGTCTGAGTGGGGTTGGAGGAGATGGTGGCAGACACCAAACAGCCGTGCTGCTGCCCCGGACCCCCGAGAGAATACCTCCGCATGGAGCTGCCCCCCCCGGCCGAGCTGGAGCTGGTGGTGGCCGTGCTGGACTGTCTGGAGGGGGCGCGGAGGCTGGGGGGAGCGGAGGTGAGGATCATGGGGATGGTTTCCCCCTGGAAGCTACGCAGGGAGAAGCGGATTGGCTGCTGGGTCGGCTGCTTGGGCCGCAGGCAGGTGCAGCAGTAGACCGCCACCAGAGAGCCCACCACCACGAAGGCCACGAAGATGCTGCCCACCATCAGGAAGGGGACGTAGATGGGCTCTGAGAGCAGAGGAAACAGGCAGGTTAGGGTCAGTTAGGAGGAATCCTCCATGGGACAGAAAGCTGTGGGTTATTAAATGTGTCTACATGTAAGAAAACACCAAATGTAGTTATTGTTATCATTCTCTATTCAAATCGCTATAGAGACACCAAAACAACACATTTAACTCAGTAGAACATTTAAAAGAAACTGAATAAATCAGATAAAAAGCATATTTTTTTAACGCTTTTTCTTCTTCAAACCCCTCTTTAACATTTACAGGCTTTAGAAAATAAATCTGAAATGCTGTATGAAAAACACTTTAGGTGTTACATATTATGACAACTGTTTTCTCTTCATTGTCGTTCATCATCTGTTTAGCCTCCACTTATGGATGCCCACAAGAGGAGTTTTCACAAACACATAAACCCTTGTCTCTGCGCACAACTGCATTATAAGGCAATATAAAACTGTAACTGTTTGTGCTGCTTATAAATCTAAAGTATTTTCCTTGTTAGTGACTGAAAACTTCAATGCTAAACATAATTGTAATAGTTAATTTCTTCAAGTCCTTCATAGTATTATTTATAAAACCTAACAGAAGTATTCCTGCTGGATTACACCAACAGCTCAAGTTACTCTTAATGAAGCCCATTTGCACTTTGGGAGGAAATTAGTCAATGTTGATATTTTCATAAGAAAAATTAGGAAATTGTGAGCACACAGTCCATTCAGTTAAAGCCCAACAGCTTATCAGTTCGGGAAATTTAAAGAAAACGTTGAGGGTTAAAAGGACCGATTATTGAAGATTTCCCAACTCACAGTGGGTTAATGTAATACTGTGAGTCTGTCAAAGAAGCCAAAGAAAATGAGCGGCTCCCTCATTGTGTTGTGATTACTTTGGTTTGCAAATCCTAAGTCAAAGTGAGTGTGTTTGGTGTTGGGCAACACAATAAGCCGGCTTGTATGAGAAAGTTTTGAATACATTCCTGCATTGCGATTGAACTAATCTTGATGAACTTTTATGCAAATGTCTGCTTCAGATTGGTCTGGAGTTGGTTTTAAGAACACTTGTTGAGTGACTGACAGGCTGGGTCACCAGAAACTCCTCCAGGTTTACTTTTTACTCTGATAGCAATCTGCAGTGAGGTCAGGTCAAATGAAGCCACAGGAGCTCAGAGAGTTAGGTGTTGGAAACTGGACACTTCTCAGTATTTGAATAAAAACTTTACATGAAAACTTTAAAACACCAGTTGCGTATAAAGAAGGTGGCATAAGCAAATACTTCCTGTTTTGTTAATTGGACAATATTCTAGGGAAAGTGTAAGTTCAAACACATCTACTTTAGTTTTTCCTACAACTGATGGAGCAATTTAGCACAAATTGTTATTTTGTCCTCCAACTTTTGGCCTTTGGAGGCCTGACATGTATGAGTGTCTGGTTTGAGTAAATGCACCAAATCTTAAGCATACTGTTTAACTTCTTATAATTCAATCGGACAGCAGGGTAGTCTGACTTGTAGTCATGCTTTATGCTGTGTTTATTAATGTTCAGCTGACCTCTGACCTCTCTGTAGAAACCAACGCTCCTAAAGATCAATCAGACTAAATGAGTCATAAATTAGACTAAACATGTTCATTAATCTGTTAAGTGTATTTACATTTTAACCTCAGTCTTAAATATTTGTATTTGTGGTTTTTTCACCCATCCTAATTGAGTTCAGAACTTAATTTGTGAAGTTTTGCTCTAATGCTGCACTTTTGAAATAACCTGAGAAAGACTTGTTATTATAGTAATTCCCTTTAAATGCAGTAAACTTACGCGCTGCGAACTCGGTGTTGTCCACCTCCCGGTCGTTGGTGCAGCCGCCCTGCTCCACCCGTGCGTCCGCGGCCGCGCAGCAGTAGCGCAGCGAGCAGGAGCCGCAGCACACGGTGGCGTCCATGGTGTCAAAGTCCTCCGGACACTGGAAGCCATCATGATAATTCCCATTAGAGTCCAGCCAGCCGTGGCAGTACTCCCCCTGAGCGTCCGATATCCGCAGATTCCAGGTCAGATATCCCAGCAGCAGGCAGTTCAGCAGGCACACCATCCCGGCGAGCCGCTGGGTTCACGGTCCCTGCTCCTGTGGGCTCACCGGGTTACACAATCTTCATTGAGATGGAGTTACTGAAAGAGAAACGCGGCGATCCACACATCCGTCATCTTTCCGCCAACAAAAGCCCTTCAAAAGTTCCCAAATTGCAATGCAAGAAAATCCTTAATTGAGTCTTCTGTTTAAGTCACTTCTTAAAAATCTCATCACTCAAAAGTGTTCTCATCCAAACATCTGCTCCGAGTTTCACTGTGCCCAACACCGAGCTGCTGCTGGGAGTGTTTGTTGATGTCGGTGCAGAAGTTGTGCGCCCACCTCACTGCAGAGTTGCTGCTTTTGTGACTCTGCTCGGCTGTGTAGGCGCGCACGTAACCCCCATTAACCAGACGTGCGCATTCACGTGGTGGTGGTGGTCGCAGCTATGTCGATTAAACCTACCATGAAGGTGCCCAAATAACATAATAATAACAATGCATGGTCTTAATAACATTATACTGCATGTAAGGAGACCCACAGTGCAGCAGTTTATTACTACTTTTAATAATCTAACCTCAGTTTATAATCACTATTTTACATTTATGACTGAACAATGCAAAGGTCCTTTATGTTAAACACATGAAGCAAGACAACTATGTAATGCAGAAGAAAAACTACACCATTGTTAAGGAGAACATGTGAACATCATCCTAATGAAACAAGTGGAAAGTTGAATAAATAAGAAATAAAACACGCTCTGCTAAATTAAATACAGTCGTTTTGCTGCATCTGTTAGCTAACAGTTTGCTATGACTTTGTGGACATTATGTATTTTATGTGTACTATTGTTAGGCTACGTTTATAAACCTACTTTTTTTTAGCATTTATTATGTTGTATTCGTTGGGTGTCTTTTTACATATGTCCAGACACTAAAGGTGAAAATGAAGGATTCTGTGTTATTTTGTTAAAAAGATAAAACAAAACTAATCAAACTTAATCATTACCTAATATTTCTAACTTTTTGTGGGCAAATTAAGATCGTTTAGCAAGAGTAACATAGGTTCACTTTAATGCATGTGAATAGATGCATGGCTTATTCAAGGAGAGGAAGCAGAGGTTGAAGGATGTTGTTTGACACTGCATCCAAAAACGGCATTATGGACTGTTAATTAGGAGTTTAATAGGTCGTCTATGAAAGTCAACATTTAAAGATTATTAGCCAATAAATAGTTTTATTTGGAGCATTTTTCATACAGGCATACATCTTTCATTATAAGCTCATGTTGAGTTTGATGTCGAGACACAGTATGCATTTGCATGTGTTTTGATATCCAGAAACTACCGACCTGTCTGAGCTGTTGAAAGGAGGGGGAAATCGTGTGTTGATCAGCAGCAGGTCCAAATCCCTCCATCTATTAATCTCTCCTCGTGTTGTTACCTATTGATGTGGCGCCCCCGTGTGGTGATGCAAACTTTTAGCCCTGCAGGCTACCAGACAGGTTCCCCAGAAAGCCTTTTAAGCTGAAAGCATTTGAAACATGAAGAACAAAACGTATGTATAACATTAAAGAAATCTGTCCTGCAAATTAGTTAAAAAATTCAAATAAAAAAATATAAATATAAATATACATTTGTATTTATTCGAAGAATAAAACATGTTGTCGAGTTCAGGACCAGGATGTAGGCTATAAACTCTTATTTTGACTGTTTGTTTTACTTCGTTTTATTGATCCAAGTACACAAGCTATTCTATTTTTTTTTTTCTAGAGTAAGCACAAACAGATAAAGCTAAGTAGGCCTACTTTCTCTTTTGCATGATGTCTGTGTGTGGATGGCCTTTTCCTAAATTTGCTCTCATGTTGCTCAATTGATGCTCTGGGCTCAGTAGCAAAATGGCCTCTGCCTTTTCATTTGTCGGATTTCATTCTGCGGTTTTTTTTTTTCATTTCCAGATTGTACAACTGCTATAGCGCCCCGTTGTTCTGTGTGTATGGTGGCTACAAAGGAGGCAGCAGGCACAAGTCCCGCCTGTATTTCCCTCTGGAGGAGTCTCAGTGTCTGCGCTCCCGACTGGGGATTGGAGCGGCTGCTTGTCAGTAAATGAGCCCACCCTTCCCACAGTGTGCATGAGGGAAACCGAGCCAGACACTGACGGATCTGATCCTCCAGCCCGTCACACCAGCACGCCACAACATCGAGCCATCTGCCGTGACACCTGGCCGGGATGGAGGGAGAGATGCAGCCCGCAGATGAAGGGCCCTGCGCCCCGAAGATGTGCCGCCAGCAGCAGGGTCCGCACAGCAGCCTGAAGCCCTTCCAGAGTAAGCGCTCGGCGGGCAAGTCGCGCGGTGACAGGTCCGCTGTGGTGGAGGTGCCTCTGTTTGGCGACGGGCATCACTTCACTTTCCACCCCGAGCAGCCTCATCATTTCCAACCGCACCATCACAACCACCAGCACCACCAGCGTCAGCAGCAGCTCCACCAGAGCAGTGTGGCTATCAGCAGCAGCCAGCAGCAGCATCACCAGGCGCCAGATCGTTTCCCCTGTGAGAACAGGCCCAGCAGCAGGGTCCCGACATCCACCTCGGCAGCGGCTGCAGCCTCTCCTGGTCCCCAGCAGCGGCGCACCAGCGGCGGCAGAGCAGAGCCCAGACTCTCCCCGGACTGCACCTACGGTATCAGCTCAGGTGGGTTTCAAAGTTGTTCAGAGTGAGTGATGAGAGTGACTCCTTCTCATGTGTGGATCCTTCTCCAAAGCTAGTTTTATTTATTTGGATTGACACTTTACCTGAGCTAGCTACATGTCATCAGGTTGTCCTGTTTTTTAGTGTATATTTGGGGGTTTTGCTGCCCAAACATTAGAGCATAAAGCCTCAAGAGTCAATCAACTTAAATGAAATACAAACAAATGTGATATTAAAAGAAAAAATCTCTTTTGTTCACATGAGCTTCATGTTTTTGTTCCCATTTTTCCTGTCAGCAATGATTGATTTGCTGCTGTAATGAGAGCAGTCATGATTGAATCTCCAGTGTGCATGTGCTAAAAATTACATTGGGTAATTGTCTGTGTGTGTGTGTGTGTGTGTGTGCATGTATATGTGTGTGTGTTTACTTGTGTGTTTCATGTATGTGTGTGTGCAAGAAGGCCCTCACAATCTCTGTTGAAACACATTGTTCTGAGCTAATTTTTCTCCTCAGCTGCGGTTCATTAGGGTTGTGCAGGCAAAGGGAGAAATGTGTTCCCTGTGTGGAGGGCGGGTCCATGGGAACTAACGTTAAGAAGAAAGCAATGAACCCAATCCTGGCAGTTATGAAATTAAACATTACATCTCATCCTGTAATCAGATATTAATCTCTTTATCACAGCCAGAAGCAGAGGCTCAATTTGCTGCTGGTTATTGTTGCTTTACAGACAATCAAGTGTTCATTCAAAGCTCAGGTTGCACTGTACTCACTCACCTGCATGAGAACTGCCAAAAGCACACTTTAAGTAACAGCGGTTTGATCTAAAAATAGACATTGTTGTCATATCTTTCACCAACCTAAATATGTGAAAGTGCAGCTGGATTCCTGAAGCGCAGTAATGATGACCCATTGTTTGCACTTTTTCAGTTATACTCTTGGTCCTGATGTTACTTACGAAATAATCACACAAAACCATATTTTCCACTCTAATTTTCCACAATCACATCTGAACATGCTGTTAATTCTTTACTGATAATGACACGTCAAAGAGCTTCTTATCTGCACAATGGGAGAAACTTAATGTCCCTCTCATGGCTGGAAAAAGAAACAACTTGATGCCCTTCTCATGGAGAGAGGCAGCAGAGACCCCTGGACTCAGCAATCAGTTCAGCACACAATAACACAAATTGCATTGAAAAGCCGTTCCCAAAGAGTTGTGATTAAAATAAATGGGGCTCATAAATTTGCCTCTGCCGAGCGTGTTGTTTTTAATGAAATTTTATGAGGCTCTCAGCTCACAGAACTGGTGAGAGAAAAAGGGGAGGGTGGGTGGGGGGTGCAGGGTGAAGGGGAATGATATCAGATACATCTCGACGAGTAAACAGAGACAGCACGCATATTAATAGATGCGACACATCTGCGCCAGGCTGATAGACACGTCTGAGCGAGTGAAAACGCAGCAGTGGCCGCCCAGAACTCATTTATTGGTGTGCATATTTGTGCGTGTGTGTGTGTGTGTGTGTTTTTTGTGTGAGGACAGAGGACTCATAATCATTACATGGAGGTATGTGTGAGATCATCTCATTGAGACGTGCCCAGACTACCAGGGAAACTGTACACTGAGGCTCCTTTCTGGACAATGGCTCCGCGCTGATTATCTTTTTCACGGCTGCGTTTGGTCACAGCAGCTACTGTGACTTTATGGTTTATTGACATCTGAATAAATCAGCATAATGAAGCTGACATTTCTGTGATCAGAGGAGCCTACTGTATGTGGAAGGATTTGCCACCAAAAAGACACGATGCAAACGAAAAACATGGGAGACAGAAACGACACAATCCAGGGAAGGATTGAACACAGACTCGCTCGTTTAGTTTCCTTGAGTCTATCTGCTGCTTTCTATTTGGGATTTCAATATGTTTCAGCAGTAATGTACTTTTGAGGTACTTGTACTTCTTCTCTCTCGTACTTCCTGGTTTTACTTAACTACATTGCAGAGGAACACAATGTGACCTTTACCCCCATATGTTTTTTGACAACAGAACATACTTTTTCATTTTTAGATTTTGCATTAACGATAGGCTTAAACAGTAGAATACATTACATGAAATAAAACCAGTGGGTCCCAACCCTTTCGACCGGCAGCCACTTTAAATAAAGCAACATCTAATTTGGCCCCTTAACATGTTTTATATTTCTACGAGTTGTCAGCAGACCCTCTGAAGAAAACAAACCTCTTTAAACCTCCCAGATGGTTTAATATATCAAGTTTCAGGGCCCACAGGGGTAAAATGATCCAGTATTGCACAATAAAAGCAAAGATTATATAACAGTCCAAATGAATACAGATTTTGGTAGCAGTACTTTTTTTTCTTCTTCTTTTCTGCACCATTAATCCCCAGCTACAACAGTAAGGTTATGTTACACATTGAGGCCTCAGTATTAACAATGTAATTATGTGAAGGAAAATATTGCAACAGTCACATGTTGGCATTTTACTGCAGAACAAGCACTTTTAAATTAAGTACATATTTATCTGATAATACTTTGGTACTTTTACTGAAGCAGAACTTTAACTTGCATCTGAGTCCTTCTTCCACAATTTGTTTAAGTGCAAGGAATAATCTCTATTTAAGAGTTTAGGAAAAAAAGGTGATTATTGAGTTATTCTGGAGCTTTCGACAGCTTTACGTGGTTTTCATGGTGAGATTGAGTTTGTGTGATTTTCAGGCAGTTGTAGATGTCAAAAACCTTATAATAATCTGAGCGTTTTTGAACTTTTTAAACATATTGACCAGAATTGCTACTAAATGGACTGTAAGGCGATTAGTTTACTGTTTTCCAAATCCTAAAATAAACCTTACACTTGAAATGTATCAGTTTATGAACACAGTATACCTATGGATGAAATACCACTGTTGACCTCTGGATTTTGTATCTCTCATTTGTAGAGAATCGTCTCATCCTGGATGCCTTCGCCCATCAGTGCAGCCGAGTCCTCAGCCTCCTCAACAACGGCCGTCTCCTGGAGCCTTCCTCCTCCTCCTCCTCTTCCTTCACCTCCAACATCAAGCTGGAAGACGGGGCAGGGGAGGTGCAGGGGCTCCACAGCTCCTCCCTGGGGAAGACCCAACCTGAAGAGGGCTCCTCCACCACAGGCCCAGAAGAGGAGGGCCACCAAAGCCATTTGAACCAACAACAGACCTCTGCGGTTCTCCGTATCTTCACAGACTCCCTCCAGAACTACCTGCTCTCAGGGCCGCAGCAGAAGCAGGAGCGTCTGGCTGCCGGGCTGGAGGAGGACCAGTGTCCGTCAGCGGGACACGGCCCGGGGGTTTCTCCTCACAGACACCCCCTGGGAGGCTGGGGCTCGCCGACTCCGTCAGAGTCGTACGGACACCCCTCGTCCACGCTGCCTGAGGAGGAGGAGGAGAACTGCTGTCCGCGCTGCCTGGAGCTGGAGCAGGAGGTGCTGTCTCTGCAGCAGGAGAACGAGGACCTCCGCAACAAGCTGGATAACATCCCAGGTGCAGTAGTGAAAGACAGGGTTTGACTTTGTTTTGCGTCTTTTCTTTGGGATGGGTCAAAGGTATAGTGATAGAGATTGGTGACATAATAGAACAAAGGTGTTTTTCTACCACAAGCTTCCAGACATTTCTTAAATCTATACGTAGGGATGAACACTTTGTTCCTTAAGATATTCACTTAGTGTCAGAGATAGATTGTGTGATTTGGAAGCCATAGACCAACTCAGTCATGGGGTCTCCGCCTTATTTTCACTCTTTCTCTTATTGAAAATGTTGGGACTCGCAGTGATAGGAATTAATACAGTATTTATTTTAATTAAAACTTTTAATACAACACTGTAAATTCCAGTCAAATTGTACAATTGCTGCATTTACTGCATTTGCATTCCACTACAAGTGCAGAAGTTTTATTGAAAACATCTACTTATATTTAATTTAAGTATTTTTAAGGTGGAGCTTAGCTAAATACTGCACCATAGACTCGAGCACTTGACTTGCACTCTGCTGTGACTCGACTTACTTGAATCTTGAGTGCCTGAAGATACAAATCGACCTGATAATTTAAGGCAAAGAGTTTAAGAGATTAGGTGATTTATCAATCCACATAAATTACTTTTATGTGGATTGATTAATTCACTAATACTTTTCAACTCTACTCATTTTTCAACCTTTTTCTAATCTGTCACCTGTCTGTATATCTCATTAAAAATAGTAAAAAATGTTCTTTCTGGCTGATTTCAGAATCTTTTATTCAGACTAATGCATTAATCAATACCAAACCTATTATCAGTATGTCATCATTAGACCTAAACAGATTGTGTCATCTGTTTCAGAGAGTGACATGTTCTCCCTCTGTAAATGCATTTAGAGTTTGGGGCAACAGTCTTAATAGCATCTATTTTTATTAACTATTCTGCTCACCCTGAAGCATTCTGAGCTCCCATGTGCCACGTTAACCTAATTTGCAATAAAACACCTCAATTTATCTGCACATTGCCGGAGTATTGTTGTTAAATTATACATCGGATGGTTTGTCTCTTTGCCTTCAACGATTTTCAACAATGCCTTTGCCTTTCTGCTCACACAGTTCCCTGTCAAAACGCTCTGGACTACTTTAAGACTGTTCTTGAGTTTCACAACCAGCTGGTCCCGCCGATGACAGAGGAGCAGCTCACAGAGGTGAGAAAACACACGGCACATTATTCACAGCTATTAAAAGCATGTGTGATCAGTAGCATTTGCTAAGGTGTAAACATCTCAGCTCATATCCATCAATCTGTGATGCAATTCTGTTGTGTTAATTTTGCAATTAAGTGGTGTGATAATTAAAGAAAACTCTTTCTCTGCAGGAAGAAGAACGGCAAACAGTCTTTGAGGTCTGTGTTCTTTCTTTAAGCCGTATTATGCTAATTTCTGTGACATGTTTCCATGCTTTAATGTTCAAAAAGCTCTTTATTTTTCTCATACTGTCTGTGCTGCAGCACCTCTTTTCACCCTCTGTCTGAAACCAGAGCCCAGTCTGCTCTGATTGGTTAGCTGGCCGGCTCTGTTGTGATTGCCTATAGATGTCCCGCCCCTTAGACTATCACGTACAATGTGTTGGAATGCTAGCCAATAGTAGCGTGAGTGTTACATAGTGATGTCACTATGTTACAGAAGTAAACAAAGGAGTCCATGGGAGACATTTCTGGCACCAAACACATGCACAAAAAGGAAAGGGAAAACCCCAAAAAATCGAATAGGGCCCTTTTAATAAACACAGTTTTTTAAGAACATAAATGATTTCAGTGTACTTCTGTGTTATTTTTGCATGTTAAACCGACAGGAAGTACTTCATCTAACACCTAAAAGTCAATTTAAAGTTGCAGTCAAAAGGTTTAAGTAAATATCTATGAGCAGTTTAGGGTTTAAAGCATGGTGCATTCAAGATGTTGAAATACCTGAACTCCCTCTCACCATCTCCTGTTCTCCTCCTCCTCTTCCCTGCAGGGCAGTAAGCAGCTGCTGGAGAACTACCCTCTCTACATCTCCAACAAGCAGTGGGACGAAGCTGTCAACTCCTCCAAGAAAGATGGCAGGCGGCTGCTGCGCTACCTGATTCGCTTCGTCTTCACCACCGACGAGCTCAAGTTCTCATGCGGTTTGGGCAAGAGGAAACGATCCGTCCACTCAGGAGATCCAGGCCTGGAGAGACGACCGCTCAACCCCGTCAAAGTCAGCTGCCTCAGAGGTACAGGGCCTGGAAAATATCTGTAGAAGTGTGTTTGCTTTATGCTTCAGTCTGCTCAATTTAAGTGATACATTATGACTGAAACTCTGGGAATTGGTAGACCTCCTACAGCTGTCCTTCTGCCAGGAGCTCTGGAAAATGTCTGCGTATAAAATGTGAGTGCGGTTTATATGATGTAGTGCCATGCTTGTTAGAGTACTTCACTCTAACAGCCCATGTTTCACATTTGAAAAGCAGCCGTAACTATCGAGTGAGTCCATTATTCATGGATTCGTAACAATTCATAACTGTTCACATGACAAGCATAAGGTCGGCCAAACATGGTCTTTTTTTTTTTTACATGGATATAGATACGGGTTATCTTATCATTTTATTTGGTTTAGGATCTGAAAAATGTGTTAGGAAAGTTAGTTTTAGGTTGGATATTTGACAGACAGTCACTAAGGTCTTCTTAATTACTGAGTTTCATTTACAGACCCTCAATAACTCCATACTAAATGATGCAAAAAATGATAATACATTTGACAGTGGCTGTGAGGTAGTGTGGTCTTCTACCGATCGGAAGATGTGGGTTCAATCCCAGCCCCAGTAAACTTGTCGATGTATCCTTGGACAAGATACTTAACCCCAGGTTGCTCCTGTGTGATGTTAGCTTCCTCCAGCCTGGCAGCTCCTCTGTATGAATGTGTGTGAATGGGTGAATGCTGACTTGTATATGTAAAGTGCTTCGAGGCGTCGTAAAGACTGGAAAAGCGCAGTCCAACGTTTATGGCCCTTCTTTTGGATTTGTCATAAATTGATTTTGCATAAATATTTTAATAGATGATAATTTCACTTTCTTTCAATAGCTCACATACCATGTGATCTTATGACTTCAAATCAATGCAGAATTGTATAACAACACTGGTTTTTTATTTTTTTATCTTTGATTTGATCTTTAATTGTATTAATCTGTGTGAATCTGTGCTGTCCTGTTTTTCATCCTTACCCTGTTGCTGTTAAACTACTGAATTTCCCCACAGGGATTAATAAAGGTCCATCTTATCTTATCTTATCTTATTTAAGGACACGCCTCTTTTTATTGGAATTTAGTCAATCTAATATTTTCGATTAATTTCTCAATGGAAGTTTTGTTAAATTAAATTGCGTCTATGTCATGTGACCCATTGACTCCCATCCATACCAGATATTATTACTTTACTGGATAAGTAGGACACATCTATTTTTATTGGAATTTAGTTCAACCTCTATTTTATATGAATGTTTTAATTCATATTAAGCAAGTCAACATTTTTTCTCAATAGCTTCCATGTCATGTGACCCGAAATCAACACAGCATTGTATTACTACAACAGACAAAAAAGACACACCTCTTTTTTATTGGATCAGTAATATTTATCGGAGAACTTTCCTAAATCACTTACTAGTACAAGTCATGGCTTTCTCTGATTTGTCAATAAACAAAAAAATATTTTGAATCCTGTTCTTATTGATCCTCTCTTCACCAGAGTTCATCCGGATGCACTGTTCCTCAAACCCAGACTGGTGGATGCCGTCAGAGGAGCAGATCAACAAAGTGTTCAGCGACGCGGTGGGCCACGCGCGGCAGGGCCGGGCGGTCGGGACGTTCCTGGGCAGCAGCGGCAGCTCCACCAGCAGCCTCTACATGGACGCCTTCGAGGGACATCTGTCGCAGGACGAACTGTATCTGAAAGGCTGCCACAACGGCCAATCGGACTGAAGTCAGAGGAGAGATTTAAGGACAAATGCCGGAAATGTAGCTGAACAACGACAAATCCCAAAACACCGACCTTAACCTGTCACTTTACACAGTCAAGAAAACATTCCAGTTTATCAAACAGATTATAACCACAGTATCTCTGAAGCCGTTTTAATAGTTTGTAGCCATTTTTATATACTATATTATTTTGTTTAGCCAGGTTTAAATTCTGAAGTGTTTTCAACTTTTTAAATTTGAGTCTTCCATTTGCTACTTTTTCTATGGTTTCATGTTTTGAGCAGTTGTTCAGTTGGTCATCAGGAACATATTTCTGTTAGTGTCACCCGAGTTCGAGACGTATTATATCCAGCACTTAGTCTGCACCCTTCTTCGCCTTCATCACAGAAAGTAGCATTTCATATTTGTCCTCCAATCAACAGGAGTGCCTCTGATAAAGTCATGTTCTGTTACCTGTAGCACTTCACATCCCCATTTGTTTTTCTCCTAATGAATCAATTCTGATTTGTCAAGTGTTAATAAGTCTTTCCTATGTGTTAGATGCAGCTTTCCTTGGGTTGAAAGAAGTTTTGGTCAAAGCTGATCTGTTTTGAACTTCCTGCATCAGATTTCAGGATATGCAACAAAAGAAAATGTGAGGTGTCTTAGTAATTTAAGTGCATACTTCCTTGAATCTGCAAAGGTTACAAGAGGCCTTTTAAATTAGTATTAAAAGCTGTATATGACAGTAAAAATGCAGATTTCCAAAACAAGCAAAAAGTGGGAAAAATAATACGACTGTTTCCTTGTTATGCCAATGTTTGCACTTTCTTTGCTCTGTCATAGATTTTTTTATTAATTCTGATGAAAAAGTCTTAAAAATATAACATTTATTTTATTTTACATTCAGTTGTCACCATTGGATGAATAAATGTTGCCATTTAATAATGCCTTAAACTTGATTCAAGACCTCCAATATATAACATATGTATGCTTTATGTGTTCATGTAATCACAATGTGAGTTGTAACTGTCTTCTTCATAATGACAGAAAGTATCCACTTCTTAATAATTATCTGTTGATAAAAAAAGCACTTATTCCTTATTTGCACTTTTACTTGTCTTGTTGTGGCAAAAGTGTGAGTGGTATTTGGACAGAGTTTATGGATTTCTATCCTTTGACTTTGTATTTATTTGATTTGGTACTCAATCACTCCATGACACCGTTTTCTACGTTTTGAATGTAGCAGATTTATTAGGTCAGTTTGCCACGTTGACAGTGCTGTGTAAATGTGTAATATAAAGTACAGTATTGTGTGAGGTGTCTCTCTTAAAAAGCCAAGTAGAAAAGTGCCACAGAAACCTTAAGCAGTCGGATTCTGTCGTTGTGTTGCTGTTCTGAATGTGAGCGTTTGTTTGTATTTACTCCCTCAAAGTGGCTGTTATCAACACTGTGAAACATCTGTAAGATCTTTACAAATCTAAAAGCTTCTGTTGTTTTTTATTTATAATAAATGAACTAAGCACTGAAGGTGAACACTTGCTTTAATGGGGATCTGTCTACCTACTGTTCTAACATTTTCTAGAATTTGTTTTAATATTTAAAGAAATTAGACAGATCAATATAAAAATAATAACGGTGTATCTACTGTACAGTACAGTTTATTTTTGGGTCATTCAGTAGCATCTGATCTATTATTCCAGATAAAGATACATTGATTAGGTAATTTATTGTAAATATGGAATTAATTGGAAATCAATGTTTTCATTCATGTCTGTTATACAGAAACAATTCAATGATTGTGGGTTTTTGAGTTTTTCTGATGTAGACTAAAGGTTTAGTTGTTCGAAAGAAGTGGGAGTATTCATGTATTTTACTTAAGTAATAACACCACCGTGGAAAATATAATATATATATATACAAGAGAAATTGTGAATCAAGGGAAGTGAAGGTGGGAGCTTATGTAGAAATAGACAAAGGACAAGCTCTATTCCATCAATCAAAAATAAATACATAAACTATTATTCCATAAATCTTAGCGAGATCAGAATCAGAATCAGAAGCGGGTTTATTACCAGGTACTGTACACGCACAAGGAATTTGACTTGGTGTCGAGGTGCATACATAGAAGTAAAACAACAATTAAAAACATAGATAGAGAACCATAATTGTTTAGATTGCCATAATGCGGCTGAATCTCCCCTTGAGGCTGACTGCAGATAATTCAGGGGATCAGGCGAGGGCTGATATGTTTTATTGGAGAGAAATAGCAGGAAGTGACTACAGCTCCTCCACCTGGGAGTCTTCAGTGTGTTGTTGCTGCTTCTCTTTTGTTCCGATTCTTCTCATAGTTAATGTCCCTGACCTCCAGCAGGGGGCGCTGCAGCTGCAGGAATAACCTGATGAAGTCCATCAGAGAAAGCTGTTCTCCAGACAATATCAACAAAGAACTGTACTGTAAGTTTAGGTAAATGCAAATGTGTATTCACAAAGGGCAATACACTTAAATTGTCTATAAACATTTTGTTTAAAGGATTAATTTGCCTTAAGGCTCTTTTATTGTTTGGATTAAAAACGTTTACTTATTAAATTGTTAATTCTTCAACTAATTTATTATTTCAATTCATTAGTTTTTTTATGCCTTATTTTATTTTTTACAATTTGTTTCTGTGTTTTTCTTGCAGCAATCCTGCGAGAGGGGACACATTGTTATAATTATATTCCAATAATTATCTAAATCAGATTTTCAGCTCGAGCTGGAAATTATTTATTTTTAGAGAGGGTTCCGCCCTTAACTTCACTGACTTCTACTTCTGCAGTTTCACATAAAGACAAGCTTCTGAATGCATCTGTTTTGTTCGGGGTGTGCTCTCTGTCAGCAGTGTGTGTGTGTGTGTGTGTGTGTGTGTGTGTGTGTGTGTGTGTGTGTGTGTGTGTGTGTGTGTGTGTGTGTGTGTGTGTGTGTGTGTGTGTGTGTGTGTGCGTGTGTGTGTGTGTGTGTGTGTGTGTGTGTGTGTGTGTGTGCGTGTGTGTGTGTGTGTGTGTGTGTGTGTGTGTGTGTGGTTCTGACAGAGCTCCGGCTGGGTGTTTCTCTTTCATTCTGCGGCATCCCTCTCTCTGTATGCGGGTCTGCTGCTGCTGAGGAGGGCGGGCCTGAGCACGATGAGCATATCTCGGACAGTAAACTAACAATGCGACACGCACGCGCTGTGGGAGGATTTCAGCACGCTGCTCGCCATAACTTCGTTTGCATTGATTAGATTTGGCCATGGCACGCTAAGCTGAACACAGGCCCGGTCCGCTGTCTGGCTGACCTCGGGTAAACCCTCAGAGGCTTCTCGGACTTTTGGGATATTCTGCAGCAGAGCCGTGTTTTGGCGCAGCACGGAAACTCTGGCGCAACACAAAGGGGGGGATGATCTCCAACTCAGCTGACAGCTAGTGAAACTAAAACCTTTTAGAGACACACAGACACAGCTCGGTGCAAGATGATGTCACTGATAGATCTGGACGATGATCAGAGATGGGTGCCCACCCATGTGAATGTCACCGTGCTCCGGGCCAGAGGACTGCGAACCAAGGGCAAGCATGGCAGCCGCTACCTCTACACCATCATCCAGGTGGGCAAAGAGAAGTACACGACCGGGCTGGTGGAGAAGGCGGAGTTGCCCGAGTGGAACGAGGAGTGCTGCTTCGAGCTGCTGCCCGGGATCCTGGAGGCCGGCGGCCGGGGAGACTACCCCCCGGGGAGCGGGGACCTGCTGCTGACCGTCATGCACCGGGTGCTCATCGGACTGGACGTGTTCCTCGGACAAGCCGTCATTCCTCTTGATAGGATATTTCAGGAGGGGATGTGTCCTCGAGATGAGTACGTTCTGATTGGGTTTTAATGAAGCATGCATGACAAAAATGCCAGATTGCTGCTCACTTGTACATGCAGGCAGAGGTGGAACAAGAGGTTTTACTAGCAATACTACAGAGTAGAGAAAAGATCCTCAAAATATGACTAAGTATCAAAAGTAAAAGCACTCATTATGCAGAATGGCAAAATTAGCACTTGTACTTTAGTACTGGAATACAATTAGTGATGCATGAATGTATAGGCATCACTAATGTTGCACATGGTAAAGTGGGAGTCAGTTTCAACCTGTATAGATCGGTTATAGACTACTCTGCAAAGTAACTACATTTGTCAAATATTAAAAAGTATAAAGTGAAAACGTGGAAATACTAAGAATACCTTAACATTGAACTTGAAGCTTAAGTGCTTAATTGCATTCCACCAGTGATGATACTTCTAGGCTATTTAGTAAACATTACAGAAGGAGGTCTTTAAGGTCGTTTTTATTCAGATTATGTAAATAATTCAGCAGCCTACTGTAACTGTTGAGGGATAGTTTTTCCTCTCACCTGTTATAATGATCCTCATAGAGATGTGCAAACATGTGCTTTTACAACCCAAATCACAGGAACTGTTAAAAGAGTAAATGAGAGTTGAATACTTTAATCAGACATCTTAGTGTTTTGCAGGATGACACATTAAGCTGCTAAAGCTTGAATCCTAATTGCACACAGGCTCATTAAATTCTGGCCCTTCAGGCTGATACTGTTACAGAAGCAGTTCCCAAAATGCACTGCAAATCAACAAGATGAGACGACGAGTCGCAGTTTCCACCCTGAAACAAGTTCATTTAGTGATTGTTGGCCAGAAAGCCTCCATCTTTGTCTGCATACTTTCCATTTCCCTCTCTACAGAACTCAATTTATTCTCATATAACTGCATGGAAAAACAATTTAGTTTAATCTTCATACAGAAGATATAGTGATGTGTCATGCTGTTATGTCAGACTCACAGGAAGTGGTGGAAAAAGTACTCATTGATGATTTATTTAAGTAAAAGTAACAGTACCACCGTGTAGAATGAATAAACTAATTTGAAACTGATTTCTACAGGAAAATAACCAAATATACTGACAAAAATGGAAGTACTCATGGTGCACAATGGCTAATTTCAGATGTATATATAATACATTACTGATTTAGTGATGGATTAATGTACATTACTTCAATGTGGAGCTGTTACAGATATGGCCGAAACATTTTTATATACTATTGATTAGTTAACAGCTGATGTTAGGACAAAGAATATATCATGTAAATAGTATATATTTGTCCAATAGGGCACTAAGTATGTTTGCACCCACATTTATTTATAACCAAGAGATAAATTGTTTTCCATAGTCTTACTTAATCTGGCTGTTGCTTTGTGAACTGACACCTGCCAAATTAGATTGGTGGACTTGTTATCAATACACTGATATAAATAGTACGAGTATGTGAGAAGGAGTGACTGATGTTCATCATTTGATGTGTTCAGAATGTGTGATGTGTTTGATGAGTGTAGAAAACCACAGGGAAGTGAAAATATGAAGAAAAAAAAAAATGGTGTCCATGATAATTAACTATAACTTAAAATGTGTTCCTTATTCTGCACCATGTGTTTCCGATAGTAGGAATGTTGATTCAGATAACATGCTGTAAGACTAAGTTATTTCTACTGTTTTTTAAATAACGTTGACTCTTTTGTAATTTGCCTGATAGTGAGTATTTGAAGACCTCAGTTGTGCCACAGGTGACGCAACAGGAGTCACCATCAAAATATGAAACATCTCCACTAAAGCAATACAACACATCTGGCTTTAATTGTGGGCTCTCCGCCCTCTCTATGCTCAGTGAAACTCACTGAATTCCTGCTGTTAGTTTTGGCACTACAACACGTTCTCTGGTCCACTCTAAGGATTTAGGAGCCAGACACAGAGGGAGGATTTCATCGGTTCAGTCTTCATACAGTATCGTCTCATACAGTACACACAAGCCACTGGAACTTGAAGAATTTGGGTTGTGATTTCCTTTTCTGAGGGCTTGTAAAAACAGTAAGATTATGAGTACTATGCCCCAAGCATTATTTCCAGGTTATGTAATATGTGGAAAGCATTGACACAAAGAAATCAATGTTATTTGTTGTTGTCCCTGTGCATGGCTTGTTCAACCTCTGATTGCCTATAACCGATAGCATCACACGTCAGTGACATGTTTTGTATGACTGCCCAGACCCGGCGCCAGAACAAATCTACAGAGAGGGCATATGATTTTCATGGGAGGGCACACAAAACCGTCATGTGCCGCGGCCAGTGGCAGCGCCAGAGATTTTCTTTTGGAGGTGCTGTGGGGTAGCTTGACGTTTCATAGAGGGTGCTCAAACATGTAGGGTTTCCCATTAATGTCCCGGGCGCTAGAGTTGAATTTTCTACTGCTACACTCCCCACTCGCATATACACAATGTACCCGCGACTGTTACAATGAAGGCTCGATAATCAGCTCACGGCATATAGGTGTAAGCAGGGGTAAAGTGCTATTTTCTTTAAGTGGGGGGTGGACCTAACGTCCTCTAGGGGGGTCCAGGGGCATGCTCCCACGGGAAGATTTTTTTTTTAATATTGAAGTTAAATGCTTCAATCTGGTGCACTTTGAGAGCAACATTAAGAGATCTATGGATACATCTCTCAACACCCATATGAAACAGAACTGTAAACAGATTTACTTTTTCTTTATGGATATTTTACAAATCACTCTTTTAAAGTGTATTCTTGTTTTACTGTCATATAGTAATTCATACATGTTTTTCATTTATTACTCTTATATTACTATCTGACATCACATACATCGTAGCATTAAAGTTCACAGTTTATAATTAAAAAAAATTAAAAAAATGTTTTTAAATTTTTATATATAATACAAGTAATTTTTATTTATTTATTGTAAGTCGCTTTGGATAAAAGCGTCAGCTAAATTCAATGTAAGGCCCTGGCCCTCCCTGGCCCTCCCACGGCGCCGGGTCTGTGACTGCCACAGTTTGGATGTTGACTGTCCCTTTTCCTTGTGACTCCAGATGGTTCAAGCTCAACTCCAAGGCGGGCAGAAAGGAGAAGGACCGAGGCGGGCTGCAGGCCACGGTCCAGTTCACTCGCAACAACATGACCGCCAGCATGTTCGACCTCACCATAAAGGACAAGCCTCGCTCTGCTTTTGGAAAGCTCAAGGATCGAGTCACGGGGAGGAAGAGGGGGGACATGGAGTCTTCCTCAGCTATTGTGCCCGGACGCTTCGCAGCCCTGTCAGGATCCCTGGGGCAGCCGTTTGAGGAGGGGGGCGGAGGGCCGGCTGAGACTCGAGATGTGGAGAGAGCAGAGGAGAAGAGGAGCAAGGTGAAGGACTTCTTCAAAGGGAAGCTGCGAAAGTCGTCTGACACCAGGTCGTGTTCCTCCCTGGCTTCAGAGAGCAGTGTGTCTTCCATGGCCAGTGATAACCCCGGCCCCCCACCCAGCCTGGATCTGATGTCAGACCCTCCCAGCTCTCCCATCTACACCAGCAGAGTGAGAGCGGACACCCATTACGGAGAGACAGCTTTAGCTAAAAAGGGTAGGCTTTGACATGGTTTATACATCTGTATGTTGATCTGTTGTGATTGTCAGTGTGATAGGCACTATTATGTGTTTACCTGCCCAGGGACTGCAGATGGAAATGAGCTTTTAGCTATAATCATGCATATAGCATCTCTTCTCTTTTTGAGATGAATGCATTTGTATGCATGGTCCTTGATCAAAAAAGATGTATAACAATAGTTTATATGTGCATGAAACAGCCTGGTGACTGTTTTTACGAGTGCCTTATAATTAAGCACATTCTTACAAGCTCGAATGCTTGCATTGGTGAACTCAGTTTATCCCAAATTCTGTTTTCATATATGAGGTATATGAAGGTAATGTATTTCTATGATTTAAGATGGTAACCAATGTAAATAACTACAATTATAATTTAAAGGGTTGCCTATGAAGCATGACTTTGTAATTATAAAGCCACTGATATGTTTCTTGTTTGTTTTCCTTTCCTCCAACAGTGCTCGCCAGCCAGCACACCACAAATGTTTTCACTCACAAGCGGGCCTTCAGCGATGAAGCCAGTAAGATCACGACAGCCTTCCCTCGCCCAAACCTTGCAGTGGAGTCTCTGAAGGGTCAGACCATGACTCAGTCCAAGTCTTCCTTGTGTATAAACGGCAGCCACGTCTACGACTCGGAGCCATCGACTCCGAAGAGCCTCGGAGCCCACCAGTCCAGGCTGGTGCTGCTGGAGAAATGCTCCCCGCTGTCTCGCTCCCTGCAGAACCTCACCAAGAGAAGCGAGGACAAAGGGAACTTCACCGGGGGCCGACGCTGGTCCTTTGACAAGACGAAGAAAGAGGAAAAGGAGGACGATAAGGAAGCTCAGGCGTCGTCTCCATCGAATCAGCAAGCTCAGGCAGAGATGCCCGCCACCTCCTCTGCCTCGGTTTCTCCCGACAAAGGGAGGAAGCTAAGAAAGACGCTATTCTCTGGAGGGAGGAGTGATTCTCTCCCAGCTAAGTCTGATATGAACCAGGCTGGTTCGACATCTGAGGGGAGGCTCAGAGGCTGGTTTGGCTCCGGTGAATCCCAGAACAAGCCAAGGTGAGTGAGGGTCATTTACAGGCTTTGCTCTGGGCTCCACAGTGTGTTGTGAATCCACAACAACCCCCACATGTGAGGCCTGCATTCAGCAGCGTGTCCCGAGTTCAGTGTTTGCTCTGCTCCATGCTCATTTGAAAATGGAATAGATAGTTAACTCCATTTTACAACATGCTGTTTCATCATCTCATTCTATATTTTCCACAGATAGCACTTCTATTCTTTTTTGTATCACTGTGTGTCTACGTTTCTCTATCAAAGATGCAACATCACTGTGGTTTAGAGAAATGCTCCTGCAGGATGTGATGAAAGTCATCCCACATTAATATGAGCTCACCCTTGAAGAAGGTCTTGAATGCATTTTTTATTTTGCTTGATTATTTTGCAAATGTGCTCTGCTTTTTTTGATTAAGTTACAGTTTTTTTTCATTTGGCCAGTTTGATCTTGTTTGATTTGAATCCACATCTACTGATGTTATTCTAGGTAACACAAATGTCCGCTAGTGTTGTGGTTGTCTTCTCTGTTTGGTAACCTGGCACATCATTAACTAAGAGGACTATTGTGCCCTATCTTCCTCTACAGGCTGGAAGTTTCTCCTAAGGTAGAAAGCAGCTCAGACGTACCCCCTCCCCTTCCTCCTCGCTCCCCTGTACCCCCTCAGTGCTCCTCTCCCTCCGCCCCCCCCTCCGGTCATGCCTCACCTGATGACTGCAATCACACCAATCCCTTCTCCCCCGCCTCACCCCCCATCTCCTCCTCTAACCCTTTCCCCTCACAGCGCAACCCTTTTTTCGAGGATCTCATAGCCGAGGAGTCACAGAGGTCTCCTACTTTTGCACCTTGCACCTCATCCAACTCCTCCCCCTTTCATTACACCACCCTGCCCTGCACACCCAGCCCTGATCGGGATGTTAAAGCTACAAATATGGCTCACATGAAACGGGAGCGCCCCAGGCCAGTTGCTAGGCAGATATCTCTCCCTGCAATAATACCCAAAGCAGCCAAAACAAAACCCTCCGCCCCTCGCTCCATGTCTGAGTGTACAGGAGAATGGGACGACTCTTTCGATGCCTTTGCCTCCAGCAGGCTCTACTCACCTCAAGGGAGTCTTCCTCAGAAACAGAGAACCAGTCAACCATCTCCCAGTGATCTTCCAGGTAATAACAACACCAACACCCAAGCACACGAGCTGCAAACATGTGAAGAGGAGCCTCCACCTTTGCCTCCAAGGAGACCTGTAAGAACTTCAGTGAATGAGATTTACTCTGATGGCTGGTTGCACAGAGGACAAGAACTAGCTGTCCATAAAGAAGCCTATCTGCTGTCTCAGACCGGCGTGGCCTCGCTGCAGCGGGGAAGAGAAGCAGAAAGCAAGAGGAACAGTATCTCTCCGGACCCTCACACCAGCAGCGAGACCTCAGACTCGCTCAGCGCTAACTCTCACACGTACGCAAATATCACTCCACCAGGATTCACGACAGATGAAAAGCTCAAAAGGTTCAAATATGAACCTTTGGAAGATGAAAACCACCGCTGGGGAGGGATGTTGTTCGAGCAAGACTTGTATGGACGCATGTGCAGAGGAAACTACGGACAACCCCAAGTGAATCGTTTATCGTTGAATGCTGAAGAGATTGCCGGAAATAATGTGACATCCGTGAACTCAGGACCTAAAATACTTGATAGTGAGGTATCTGTAGCAGACCTTTTAAACATATCATGTTCTTCCTCAAAACCAGATGCAAAAGCACTAGAGATTACAACCACTCGAGTAGCAGAGCCAGAGTCTAATCCACCTGAAAGCACATGCATCAACAATAATGTGTCTTTGTCTCCAACCTTGGAAGATCTGAACATGAATGTGAATAATTCTGATTTTGGCTTTATCGATTCAGATAGCTCTTCGCATTCAGAGGTAGTTGACCCACTCAAAGGCATTAGGAGTTTTGGCGGGACTTTTCCACAACCGCCAGAAGCTTCACAGATAGCTGCCTACCATGTGGAGACAGTCACCACACCTGAGGAACTGTTCACTTTGAAGGACACCTACATACGGGAGAGAAACTCTTCCTTTGAAATACCTGCATCATCCAGCAAACTGCTCAAAGTCTCTCCAGTTTACCAAGACAATTGCCATGATCAGCTGAATAACTCCAGGGTAAGCAGCAGAGAAATCACTGCTAGAAATGCAGACGATATTAAAACTGAGTCCAGAGGTGTTACTGCAAGAAGTGTTGCAGATTTGAAAACGACACAAAAGGAGATTGATGATAACGGAAACCCACAAGCTAAAACAGCCGCACTTAACCAACATGATGCATTTCCTGGTGTGGTTAGTGCACGTTTGAGACCAAAAGGACTGTCTCGACAAAACAGCAACGGCAGCCCGAGCAACCAGAGCCTAAACGGAGACAGAGAGTTCGAACAGTTCTTGTCCCTCGTTCAAAACATTTCCGAAGTCAGAGAAGGACCGTCGTCATATCTGCCCTCTAAATCAGCTCTTTCTTCGTTACTGTCATTAGTAGATAGCACTACAAATCAAAATGAGTCCAATGAAACATCACAGATATCTTCACAAGACAACACAATAGTAAAATCCTCTGATATCAGCTTTGAAGACCTTCATGCTAAAGTAGCACCAAACTCAAGAACCCCTACTAAGTCAAAGATTGGGGAATCTTTGCTCGAACCCTCTTTCTCCTCCATCCCGCGCACACTCTCCCTTTCAGGTGACGTACAGGCTAAGCCCCACCCTACCCTTGTTTGTTGCCCCTCCATACATCCCTCAAGCATGGGGCCCGGTGCTGGAGCCAGCAGTACTCTGGCAGTGGCCCCCTACACCTCCACCTTCTCCACCACCTGCACCACTGACCAGCCCCTGGTCGATGCACGCCACTCACTTTTTCCTGAGGAGACTCAGCCTGCTAGCAGCCTGCCCCGTCAGGAGAGCAGGTGAGAGACCTCCCACTAGGATATGACGTATGTAGCTATACTGACAAGCTGTACATTTCCACATGAACTACAAAACACCTAATGTTTTTTTTGTTTTGTTACTCTTGTTGCTTTGTTTACTGTTGGCCTGGCTTGATGTTGAATGTCATTATAAGTTCTTCCAATGTCGTTGGATGACACCTGCTGCATTGTTCTTGGCTTTGCTTCACATTTATGTTTTTCATCTCATTGTTCTGTTTCTCGTTGGCTATTGTAAATCTGTTGTTTTTCTTTCACTTCGCCTAAACTGCTATTACTTTGACCCGTTGAAGTAATAGCATAATCTCCAAATATCTAGAAGTACATAAAAGCGTATTTCTTCTCCTTACCTATATTATATCACCAAAATATGTTACTTTAGAGTTTATGTGTAAGTTTGTTTAATTAAGTGAATTACACTTTATGTATTTTTTACTTCCGTCTTTATTTATTTTTTGTTTTTTTAAACTACGGACCTTTTATTAAAGGTGGGGTAGGTAAGTTTGAGGAACTGGCTCAAGATACACTTTTTGTTATATTCCATGGAATGCTCTTAACATCCCGATATCAATGAATATATTAAGTGCTTTGACAAAAAATCCATAAAAAAATGTCATCTGTGGAAGCCGTAATACTGTAAAAAGTACGACCAATCATCTGAGCCGGCCCGGCTAAAATAACTGGATGGCCTACCTGCCTGTCAGCCTTCCATCTGTGCACAAACTTATCTCGTGCCCTCATTGGTCATGTGCACGTTCGTGTGTGTTGGAGGAGGGGCTCTGTAAGGAAGTGGCAGATTTTTTCCGGTTGTGTATTTTCAAATTCTAGCGCACTCGAGCTGGTTTCTCCAAAATTACCTACCCCACCTTTAAGTGCAATAAGGAATATTTCTTTATTATTACTTCCGTCTTTATTTTATTTTCCATAGCATAAATGTAATCTTTCTATCCCTGTATTTTGGGGGTTCGCGAAGTGATCAGTGCCTTGTAATGCACATTGCAGGGAGAGATCAGTTTTAATACCCTTCTTAGTGCTTTGTGAAACTCCGGCCAGAAACTCCTTATCACTGGACATTTACAACCTATGCCAGTAATTGGCTTCCTGAAACAAATGCTGCCTCCAACATTTGGCATCCCCTCCAGAAAAATGTGCTTTCTGCTTTAGTCTCTATTTTATTTGATGTATTGTGAACTCAGACGTTTGGCTCAAAACCAACGGCAATAAAAGGCAATACTTGCATATAATGTGCACTTAGGAATAAGTAGAGGGCATCACTTGGGGGTAGAGAGGATGAAATGCTTCAGGGACCCAGAGTTTGACGAGTCATGCCAGGAATCTTTGATAAAAAACATCACTAGTGGCACACCATGATAAGGCCCCGGGACTAAACTTTGTTCACAATCTTTTTGTATACTTTATTTACCGTAGAAACAGGAGAGAAAACTTAATATTTGGAATAAAATTGTATTATTAACATATTTTTGTCTTGGAAAAAAGGACCATCGACCGATCTGATTGTCCCCTTTTAGTATCAATAATATAAGCATAAGATAATCTGGTAGCTTCAGTAGTTTTTATTCTGATTTCTAGATTTTGAAACATTTCTGTGCTGTTGTTGTTGAGTAAGTACACCCTGTGTTTCCCTATAGATTATTTCATCTTCAAGTAACAAGAGAATCACATCCCTTGTATTAAAGCCATTTTTTCTAGTTTAACCTCAGCTCACATTGCTGCAGTTTTTAATGCTCCAAGAACAGTAGATTGTGCTTATGTTTTTCCTACATGGCTCACTGTTTCTTCACAGATTCCTTCAGATTTCCTGATCTGCTTAGAAGTTATAACTGCTGACTGACCTGCTATCAATCATTTGACCGTGCAAAATGATATATGAAGAAAACAATAATGTGCTTATAGTAAGAGTACTGTGTTCAAATACTCGTGCTGACCTCTTTACTCTGCAGAACTCATCCAGTGAAACCGTTAACTTCCAGCCAATCAGAGAAGAAGGAGGGTCGGTCGGTCCTGGAGAAGCTGAAGTCTACCATCAACCCCGGACGCACCGCCCACCAGGCTGCTGCCGAACCTGAGAGGAGTCAGGTAACAGAGACAAAAACACAACACTATATTAACCCTTTATAACCTTCAATATAAAGAACAATCTCTTATAAGGTCATTTTCTGCCCTGTTTAGCCACATTATGGGTTTTCTCATCACACAAATGCGACCAAAATAAAGCACTAATATGCTTTGTTGTGATATGTCCAACTTAACTGCAAAAGGATATTTCAACACTAGTTACAGTACCTGTGATGGGTATTGCTAATATTCTGTTTGGACTGTGTTTAGTTTGAGTTACTGTGCACCTTTTTCATCTTGTGATTGAGTTTTATTACTGCCATAAAGTAAATTAGTCAAGGTATTAAACAAAACTGACAGTGTGCAGCATCAGCCCAACAGCTCCTTTTAGATTGAGGCTACTTTCAACACTGGGGAGAGAAATGCTGATCCCATTAGTTCTTTGGCCCAGATACGATTTTTCAGGTCCTAAAGTTATGTTTCTAGCCTTTCCCTGTGACATCCTAGTCTATTTCATTGTGTCAGGGGATAACATTATTCTGATGCTGTTAAGGTAAATGGATAAGCATCATTTTAACCTGATACAGAAGTGCAGAGCTGTTTATTCAATTATTATTTATTTAACTTCTTGTTAAGATATGATCTGTTTTTGCTTTTTAGTGTATCTCTATTACACATTTCTTTGAAAGTTTATCTTGGGATTGAGACTGCAGGGAAAATAATAAAATCAAATACAAACAACCCTAATAATAAAAACAACCCCACCTGTCACAACAGTGTTAAATAGTTGTTTTGTTTGTGGGTAGGACAAAACAAAAACTGGTGTTCCTACAGTAATTAGTATTTTTTGCTGATCTGCATTCATTACATGTATGTCACTTACCTGTCAAACTGGATCTAAAAACGTCAGAGTACATTTTCTAAATGTACCCATAACACTGCGTGAGTCTCTCTGTGTGTTCAAACAGCGGAATAATTAAGTTATTAACATGTCATAATAAATTACAGAAAGCTATTAGGTCCACAGACTATTTAATGCTTCTGTGAGCATTCATTAACACCATTAGAGCACTCAGTGCAGGACCATAGATCACTTCATTGTTTCCAGTGAATTAGTGAGCCATTTAGAATCGTAATAAGCCATTTATTTTAATCAGTTTCTCATTTAAAGGAATAATTAGACAATATTACAAATACACTTATTTGCTGAGAATAAATTAGAAGAATGAGAGTACTCTCATATCTGAATGTTAAATATTAAGCAGCAGCAGAAGACAGTTAGCTTAGCTTAGCTTCAAAATAAATGTAAATATGTAAACAGCTAGCCTGGCTCTACACAAAAACTGAACTGCATCTTTCAATTGAGCCGTGTTCGACCCTTGCGTCCAGCCTTAATTGCTAACATAGATAACCATCTCCTGTCTTTTGATTTGCTTTAAGAATGTCCCAAAAACAGGAAATGAGTTAACATTTTTGCACACTTAATTTTAATGGGTTTTTGGTAAAATGCCTAAAATAAGCTTTGTGACACAAGAGTAATAGATTTCTACATTTATTACTACCACAAAATCCTTAACAAAAGGCAGTTGTTGCCTCTGTCACGTGAATTCATGCAACTGAGTTGTTTTAGCTTTTTATTTCTGCCAATTACATTCATGCTTTAAAATCTTTAAATGTGTGGACATTATATTGCTGAAAAAAACATGAAGTATATCTATGTTGGCCTCCAAACATATGTCATCCCAGCAGCACACTATAGTGGCATCTCTCTCATATAACTCTTGGCAAGGCAGTGAATAAGAATATTTCCTTAATGCCAAACTAATCATTTAAATATGTTTGCACACATCTTAACTGTTCCTGTCCCTTCTCTCTCGCAGGAGGTGAGAGTGGACAACACGGCCCACTACCAGCAGCTGACCAACATGGAGCTGATCTCCCTGCTGCTGCAGCAGGAGATGGACATGCAGAAGCAGGACGCGGCCTCCGAGCAGCAGGCGGCAAAGCTGCACAAGTGTGAGGCTGATCTGAAAAAGGTCAAGCTACAGGTTCGAGACCTGGAGGACTACATTGATAATCTTTTACTGCGCATCATGGAGCAGACCCCCACGCTGCTTCAAGTCAAAAGACACAAGTGACAATGAGACGTACAATCCTGCAGAATACTGAACTCAAGAGTGGGTGCATAACGCAGGGTTAGTATTAAAGATTGGGAATCACTGTTCGAGAGACAATTACAGTCAAACAAATGCTCCACAAAATATGGTCTCACAATCATCCAGGTCTTCTCACTGCTAATACTGCCTTGTTGATGTAGACACAATATTACCCAAGATGCATGCTGGTTACTAGCCCAGTTTGACACAGACAAAAAAAACTATGATAAAAAAAGCTTCTATCAAACCTTAAAGGTAATTTTACTCATGCTTTGTAGAATAATTTAAGGTAGGCTGTTGTCAATTTAAATTCTGAACTCACTGCTTATACACATGCATAAAATAAAAATACAGGCTAGAGGTAACACTTTTGCAGAGTGCATTTAACATAAAACACAAAGTAGGTCCTCTGGCAAAATATGATGTTAGCTCAAGTAACCTACATTTGCAGCTGTTAAAGTGCAAACACAACATCTCCACAAAGAATGTTCACCTCACATTGTTTTAGGAAATTGTGAAAACAGGTTTACTTGAGGTAATGCATATTTTCAAATAGAATTTAAGACATGCTAAAAAAAATGTGCATATGAAAATACTGCGCTGCATAACATAAAAGAGGTTTCTGCATTAACATCGCTTTATGATAATCAAAACACAATAATCCTGTTCGAAAAGACTAGGAGATGAAGACTTATTGTCTCTATGTTTTTACTTTTACAAATTATTTAGTTTGTTAAAGTCTTATTTTTTGTTACATGCAAAAACAACAAGGTTTTAATATATTTTGTATGTATTGTTTGTCTTTCTCGCTTTTATTTGTTGAAATAGCAACATTTTATTGTAGAAATAAAACAGCATCAATGCAGCAGATAAGAGTATTATAAGTTACTTCGATAAAATACTTTTGTCATGATAATATATGATCTAATGTCACTCCAGTACCACTGTAGCTACTCACAATGCTTTACATGACCTTAGTACTGTACTGTAATAAAATAAAGTGCACATGAGCCAAAGTGTTGTGTCATTTGTTGTTGGTTTGGGAAGTACATTTACTCAAGCACTGTACTTAAGTATACCATTTTGAGATGCTTTTACTTTACTTAAAGTGGTCCTATCATGCTATATTAGAATAATATAGTGTAGGACCATACCTATATAAGGCATATTTATACTTTTTTTTTTTCAAAATACCAAACAGATCATGCATTTTAGCCATGCCTCATTTTGCTCAATTTGACATTTTTTAGCTCTGTTTTAGCAAGGGCAGATTCTGTGAGAACAGCACCATCTACAGGCCTGGCATATGTACTACAGCGTCTCCAGCGCTTTCGAACGGCAATGGCCGTGGCTGTCTCCTCCTGATTGGTGGAGTTGGCCCAATAGCCGTAGCGCCACTGTCCTGACGTCAGGACAGTGTTCAAATCTGGATCAGTTTTGATCAGATCCGTTGCAGCCCCTTTTTTAGAGATTTGGGTATGGAGGAAAATAGAGAGGGTTGTGTTTTCTGACACTTGGTGAGTTCCCTGGAACACCGGGGACACATATTCATGTATAAAAGACGTACAAAAGTGCATTTTGCATGATAGGTCCAGTGGCGGCGCCAGGGTATGGCTGGGGTAGGCTACAGCCATACCAAGAAATGGCTTAGCCCCACCTTAGCCCCACCATGAAAAGTGATGCAAATTCAATTAAATAATAAGCGAAATGCTAAATGTTGAGAACACGGATTGCGAAAATATACGGGTCGTGTCCACAGCACACAAACTGATCCTGCTGTAACAACAAGTGCACGTTACTGATGCAATATGGTTGAGACCATTCGGGCTTATGCTAGAAGAGGGGTGCAAGGAATAGTCTAAGTAGTGGGGGAGTTTTATACACTAAAGGTGTGGAAATTCTCTGGCGTTATAATATCAGCGCGGCCGCGGTCAGATCAAAATGCCTCCGAATGCAATTTGAATAGACCTGACCTACAGCCAATCAGAGCAACGCAACGTTGGATCTGCGTCATGCCTTATTGATTGAGATCAATCGAAACCGCCATTCAGTATCCCCATTGGATCTTCAACGTGTACTATCATACGTCACGTTCACAGTGATCCCTTTTTATTTACTACAAGACAAATGTGCCGTTTTATTTCATACAGTTCCATTTTGATTGAGACAGGGAAATAATCTAAACCTCACGCGTGGCGTTTCACTGTCAAGGGGGGCGATATAGCGTGTATGTAATTACATTGCAAATACTGACTTGAGCACCACCACTGTATGGGTTAGCCCTACCATAGATTACCCAACAAAAATGCTCTGGCGCCGCCACTGGATAGGTCCCCTTTAAGTATTTCCATTGTATGCTACTTTGTACATCTACTCCCCTACAATTCAGAGGTGTATATTTTACTTTTACTTAATACCTTTGGTTACTTTACATATTTGGATTAATGATGTGAAATATAATCAATACTTAAACAAGACTTTAGTTACACCTGGAGTCAATTCTCAAGCCACCCTGCAGCATACAACGCCATTAAAATTAGCTGCACCTTTACCAGCTTTGATAACACTTTAATGCATCAATAATTATAATAAAAACATATAATATTATTCTGAAATGGACCGATATGCATAACGAGTACTTTTACTTTTGATACTTTAAGTATATTTTGATGCTAATACTTCTGTACTTTTACTTGAATAATATTTTAAATGCAGGACTTCTACTTGTAGCAGAGTATTCCTAAACTCTGGTACTTCTACTTTTACTCAAATACAAGATCTGAGTACTTCTACCATCTCTGCCATTCAGCCCTTAGCATGAGTGTATCCATCCTTTATTATGCAGTAATGCCTTTGTCTCTCCACTAGAAGGCACTCTTTACTACACAGTGTTATAAAACTGCTGGTTCAGCATGGACCTTGTCCTTGGCTTTCACATATTCAGGATATTTTAATCTATGTGATTTATTAAAGATATTATTGATTTAAATTGCGTTTACTGCCAGCAGTGCCCTTGCACTGCTGGCAACTTCACTTCACTTCTCTCTCTTTGCATCAATTCCAGATTGTGAAATGCTGATTAACATTAATTTCTGCTCTGAAGCAAGACATACTAGCATAAGCAGTCTTTGTGTTCATGGACGCATAACATCAGCTACATTTCCTGTTAAGACTGACCAGGTTGTTCCCTTTTAGAAAAAAAGGTTGAGCTGGTTCTATATTGTTATACCCCTTTAGTTGTAAAGATGTAAGAAAAAAAGTGGTAGCCAGTTAATAGAAGATTTTCTTAGTAAAAAAGATCAATACCACTGTAGAAATTCTCAAATACAAGTCAAATCAATATGAAGAATAGCCCATTTTACAAATCATATACAATTTAGTTCTGTATTACAATGTGTATGCATTCATGTTTTAATGACTTTGTTCACGCATATGGTAGAGGTGGTGTTCATTGCTTTACCTACATCATTATTCATTCATCGAGTGACTAGCATCAATTTTGTTTTTCTTTGGGTTATTTTTCTATTCTCCCGTTAGGCCACACCTCCTCACAAAATGATTTATTGGTTCAATCTTGACACCTATAAGGTGCATCAGCTGTTATCTTTCCCAAGATCAATCGGAGCAGTTACGCAATAGCGTTAACGTTATCGATTATTTGGGATGTGTAGTCATGCGGTTTAACTTTGCCAGTGTTATTGCAAACGGAAGGACTACACATCCCAACACACTGAGCGACACGGAGCCTCTCTATAGTTACTCAGTGACTGTAGTTCGCCCTACTTGAAAATCCGTTCATGATTCAGTTCATTAATAAATAAAGAGTTGGCTGTCATGGCGGAATCTGCAGCATGTCCTGCCTTCCAGCTCGGGAGACCGCGATACGAGCAGGTAAGTCTTTTTATGTATTCCCCGTCAAGCTGCGTTAATAGCATTTTGTTTTTCAGGCTTTTCTGTCGGAAAACAGCTCCATCCTCCGCCCTGCTGCTCTGGATGCTCTCACTTTAGCGAAAGTTGCCTTTCATCCGCGATTCTTTGTTGTACAACTGCAACAACTTTAAACTGATTATGAACTTCTGAGCGTGGTTGCAGGAGTGTATTGTAGTTTAAGTAGTACAAATAATGGATGTGTATAGCTGTTTATCATCTCCACTTACATATTTCACACCCTTTGCATCGCTGCTGCTGCTCCGTGAAATATATTATCAGACTATGGGCTGCAGCCAAGGCACTATACCTCCCTAGTCAAAAAAAGCGTATCTGTTTGTTTTTGCAGCTTTAATTCTTATTTTAGGCTTTAACATTGCAGTTGTTTGGGATTTTTTTATACAATATCTGCAAATCTTGTACACTTATCTAATCCAAATCGCACTATAACAGCCTGAAGTGTATCTAATATATCAGGATGCTTTCTGCAGAGTTACTGTGTCCCCCAATGTGATCGAGATGAATGGGCTGCCTGTCCTTATCTGAAGCCCATTACTCAATTTTCCGTCCTCCAAAATGAATTTGCATTGGTCAGCCCTGAAAGATAATGTGACCTTCACGTAAACCCGTGTTGCACATTAACTGAGGAAGCTGCACGCTGGGTACATTTACATTTCTGAGGCTTCTTTCTTCAAAGACACTTATTAAACAGCCGCCTCAAGGAAATTATTCACATGAAGTATTGCACAGATCAAGGTCCATAAACAGATTGTGTAAATAAGTCACCAAACTTTTCAGATTTGCTATAAATTCAAATCAGATGAGCTTTAAATGCATCTCTTTTCAAAATCCAGAGTAACGCAGAAAAACTATGTAAAGGCACACACACACACAAGGAAAGCAATTTATCCTAAAGTTTGAGCATATCAATTCTGACGTATTATGACAGAACAGTTTTAATTGATTGTTAGCATTGCTAAGTATAAAAAAATGCCAAATTCCCAAAAAGAGACACGAACACATAACTAAGAGTGCACGAAACCAACACCAAAATGTCCCGAAATGACTAAGAAGACACAAAACAGGACCACAAAAGAATGCTAAATAACCATAAAAGGGGCAAAAAGGCCAATAATACAAAAAATGACAACAAGAAGACACATAATGACCATATAGAATATACAAAATTACAAAAAAGAGGCCCAAAACCACCACGTAAGGATGTAATGACCAAGTACTGTCTTGGGGTCTTGCTCAGAGTGATGAGGACTAACTAATGAGGACTTACTAATTAGCACAGGATAATTTATGTTCACAAAAAGCCTAAGTGGCATTTCATTCACACCCTTTGTCACATGTGAATTACTTTTGTCTATTTTTAGAGAGTACCTCACAAATTCCTCTTTTAGACCCCCCCTAATTTTAAGGCAGCGAGTAATTCAATCTTGGTTTCCGGCTCCTATTGCTCGTGGTTTTTAAGTAGGAAATCTTTTCTTTCAGACCCCCGCAGAGCTTTTTATTTTTCCATCTGCAACCTGCACTTCTTGTCGGGTTGATAAAGGTGCTGTAATACTTTCAGTTCCTTGCGTCAAAGCAGTTGAAATTAGGCCAGTGTTTGAATCAGCAGAAATCTTCCTCTGTTTGTCTGTTCTTTCTGCCGCGCTCTGTCTCAGCTACTACAGCCTTGTTGTGTACTCTCCAGGGAGCTGAAACTCATGCATAATTAAAGCAGGATCCTCACATGGATCGTCTACCCTCTCTTACAAAACAGCACTGCAGCACATATGGCCTGTCAGAGGAGGAGACGTGTGATGGAGGAATGGCAGTGGCAGCAGATCCAGGGTTACAGTACAGATGGATGGTTATTTACAGTCTTCAGGAGCATTATTGTTTCCAGTCATTTCAATTAGGACCCGATGCTGAACATATAATTGAAATATTGAAGGGTTTTGTTCCACTGTCATTCCTCTTCCACTGCTCATCATCACTCATGACTCTCTCTGAGGGAAGTTGATTGAAGCTGCCATGTTTTTGTCCATCTGGTTTGCCAAAGAGACTCTTGGCGTTCATTGCTGTTGGGCCTTTTCAGAGTGCTGGCACACACACTTAGCAATTGGCATGCTGATGGAGACAGTGAAGGGAACTGGAAACAGGGCATTTGACCAGCAGCTCAAAACCTCACTTAGATGGAGGAATGTCTTTGTTAAATGTGTTCAGGTTGTTTGTACATTTACTTTAAAGTACATCTAAAAAAAGGCAGATTTTACTTTTATATATCTCAGCTTAATTGTGTTGGATTGTTTAGTTATGATAGCACAGACTGTCATCTATTTTTATACAGTTTTATAATTGGCTGTTTTTTTGTTTTGATGTTTCCACATTGAGCATATTGGCTCTGTTTTCCTTTAAGTGGCATTTCAAAGAATCCTTTTGTTAAGTTTTCATTTAAATAACAAAGACTTAGGCAATGCTGTTCTTGACCTTTGGGAACAAAATGCTGAGAAGATAATATACTCAAAAGTATGTTTACTAATGACTAATGAGGTTCATCGTTCTGCATGGAGATTTAAATATACCGTAATATTAAGGAAATCTTCTTATTCATATTCTGGCTGACAGGGAGGTGATTGATAACACTAAAATGTCCTTGTACTGAATATAAGATACAACCAGCAGTGTGTTAGTTTACTGTAAAAATAAGAATCAGTGGAAACAGTGAGCCTGTCTAAAGGTAACAAAATCACCTACCAGCACCTCTCAAGCTCAATGATTAAAATGTGTGTTTGTTAAAGAACAATATCTGTCTATATTATTTCTCCTGGCTCTACAGTAGCATTATATTTAAGCAAAACCATGATCATGGTTGATGACACATGGATAAAAAAGTCACTAAAGGTGAATATTTGTGCGCTTAGGATAAATGTAAGGGATTTAGTATTTATTCAGTATTTAATCAATATACTAAGATTTAAACTAAGTATCATTGCATAGGGTCTTTTGGTGTAGCCTAGTAAAACCAGTGTTTGGGGTGGGATTAGGGTTGTTAAGATACATGACCTAAACACTTCTAAAAGTCTTACTGCAGCCCTGTTTATATAAACAACAATAAACTGTACCCAATGTGACCAAATACATACATTTAATGTTCACACCAGAGCTGTGCAACAGACACAGCAATGTCTTAAGATGTATTAAACTAAAGCAATGGAAAGTGTGATAAATCATCTCAGACTTAATAACACTTCTGATATTATCCATTCACAGAGGAAAGGATGTTGTTTTGTACATTGTTTTGTACATTCATTAACAATTAACCTTCTCTTACTTTTCTTTCAAGGGCTCATTTCTGGGTCGGCTGAGACACTTTGCAGACATCATTGACCCCAGCACCCTGTTTGTGTCCGAGGTAAAGAAAAGATAAATCTGTAAATGTTTCAACAATGTGGTTTCGAAAAAAGATTATTCTTCCATCCATAATTATTAAAAACTGTCCCGTAAACAAATGATCAGATCTGTATTAAAGCTCATCAGGTTTAGGCCATGTTAAACATTTCTACAGCTGAAACAATTAGTTGACAGAAAAAGTGAACTTGTTAAAAATGGTCGTGTTTGACAGTTATATGACCTTTTTTATTGTTCTAATTGTAATTCAAAACAGTTCCGATCTAATGAAGCCTTTTCTTTTGTATGCAGCAACGATTGAAAGAATGCTTGAAACTCCTCGATGACTACAAACATGGCGAGCTTCCACCGGGAGTGTCTGATGGTCAGGTGAGTCTTTACCGACCTGGATGTGATAAAAAACGAAATATATTGCAGTATAATACGATAACATGCAACAGGAAACAGATTGCACATTACCTTAAGTTTGAAAATACCTCCTTAAGCAAAATACAGTTATTATCACATTAGAAAATGTAAAGTTAACGAACATATCCGAACCAAATAGAAAAAAAAATCAAACATATGAAGCGTATAATTAATTGAAGTGATTTTTAAAACAGTTTTGCTTACCTTTGCAGCTGTGGGAAGCCCAGAAGATCAAGCAGGTAAGTGATTCATGGCTCATATTGTAAGTCATTACATTGAAGCCTCTGGGCTCCTGGCAGCATGAGGGTGAGGTCATGCTCTCTGCACGCAGGCTATCATTCATCCAGACACAGGGGAGAAGATCTTCATGCCATTACGAATGTCAGGTACGACCTCAGATGAAGATCTTTGCCAAAGTTGTTCAAGTTTCCTCCATTTTGTCTTTGTTTTTGTACACTGAAAATCACTTCTTCACTGTGCAGGTTATGTGCCATTTGGAACACCGATTGTAAGTCCCACATGAAAATCATACATTCAAAATCATGGCTGTGCAGATGTCCATTTACATGATCGTGTTTGGGGATAGACGAAATGTAGACTTATTTTACCCCGGAAAATAAGCCTTTGTTCCCTGGTCTCATCTAGGTCATTGGCCTTCTTCTCCCAAATCAGACTGTGGTGTCTACCATTATATGGCAGGTACTGTAAACAACCAACATCTTGTGAAACCATTGCATTTATTGTACATTTTTACATTTTCTGGTAAGCACACTTTTACATGCAATGCTTTCCCACCAAGGACGTTGTAATATAAAGTGCTGCTGCTCTGTTTGCTTCTGTCTGTGTGCTGTCTCTTTATAAAGCAGTAAATAAGAGAGTATATAGTGCCTGTATATGTCTATCTGAACTTCTTCTCTTTCTTTTGACTTTTCCCTACTCTCCTCCTCTTGATTCCCCTTTTCTCTTTCCTCAATAATTCTTCTTTGGTCGTTGCTTTAACCTTTGTTTATGACCTTTTTTCTTTCCTTCAGTGGATGAACCAGAGTCATAATGCCTGTGTGAACTATGCAAACCGCAACGCCACAAAGGTGGGAACATTGATATTAACATGTTTAGTTCCCCTAAGGACTAGACAAAACATTTATACATTAAATGGGCTGCTCAAGATTCTGTACAAAATGTCTGATCACCATAATAGAGCCCATTTGTATTGTTTTTTGTTCTGAAAATGACAATTTACGACATTAAATCCCAACACAAACTGTCACTATAGAGAGTAAACCCTGTGTAAAGCTGTGACACAACATTTGCTCTCTCCTTCTTCAGCCTACGCCAACATCCACGTTTCTTCAAGGCTATGTAGGAGCTGTGACCAGCGCTGTCTCTATTGCAGTATGTGTTTCTCCCTCTTAAATCATGAGGAAAATGTATTTGAAAAGGGTATTTTTGGTGAATTTGACCTGCACATTCAAGTCATGAGCTGCTTTTGAATGTGCACCACTGTTGTAATTACATTGCTGGCTATATTTTATACAGAGTATTATTAACAGTGCTGGTAATATACAGTAAGCTTTTTGAATAGAGTTAGCTGTACAGTTCAAGTACTAATGCCAATGTTCGGATTAAAGTAAATATACTAATGCTACTTATGCGAAAACAAAGGACCAGTTTGCTGTAAATGAGACTTTAAAGTGTGTTTCATAGATTTGATAGGTTTGTACTTGAACCTGATTTCTGTTTTTATATGAACTATTGTAGGTGGGACTGAATGTTCTGATTAAGAAGGCCAACAGGCTGAGTCCGGCCACCAGGATGATCATTCAGAGGCTCGTCCCCTTCCCAGCTGTAGGTGGGTTTCCAAAGGACTCTCTGTACCATTTATATTGTGGGGTAATTAGTTGACCCTCTGGTGGTGGGATTTACAACTTCTTACTGGTTTTACACTGTATTTAAATTCCATCTAAGACCTAATTTGTTAGAAATGAGTAAATAAGTTACATAAATCCAAAAATGCAAGCTTATTATAATTCTTACTGCAATGGATTTCTCAATTTCCCCAAGACTAGTCTGGCTCAAAATTGAGGTATTTATAAAGGAGTTTCTTCTTTGGATCCATGACTACATTTCCTGTCTACAGCATATGTTTTTGTGTACATTTATTATCATAAAAGCGGCCTTTCTCACCTGTCCTCAGCCAGTGCAAACATCTGTAATGTGGGCCTGATGAGACACAACGAGCTATCTGAAGGGATTGATGTGTTGGACAACAATGGCAAAGTGGTGGGATCCTCAAAGATTGCTGCAAGACATGTGAGTTTTTTTTTTGCACACTACTCTTCTTTCTGCACTGAATATGTTCTGCTGGTTTATTCCCATGAATTGCAAATGTGGTGGTGTCTGATAATGGGAAAACTCATCATTTAATGCGCGGATCCTGTCACTCAGCACCTATTTTATACAGTGTGTATACAGTTATACACACATCTGATTTCATGAAATTAAATCTAACTCATTTGCAGAATTTGAAATGAAGCGTGTGCACAATGTTCTCATATTTACCCCAGGCGATCACGGAGACCGCCTTCACACGTGTGGTCCTCCCGATGCCGATCTTCATCCTGCCCCCCATCATCATGTCCTACCTAGAGAGGTCTGTACAGACATCTGTGGTTGGATTTTTTACTAGGGTTGCAATTAACAATTCAATTGGGTATTGGTTAATCTAGTGATTAATTGATTTTTGTTCTGCTTTTTACTTATCCTATTACTCACAAATCTATCTCGTGCCAATTCCAACATCATCCAATATCTTTGCCAGACTGCAAACCAGCTTCAAACAACACTATTAAGTCAAAGATAGCATGTGACTTAGTAAAGATAGATACATTAAACTTATTTGTTGTCTTAAAATGTCTTTCCTACCTGTTTCCTGTAGCTGAAATAAACTATTTTGATGATAGTTATTCAGTTTTGCAATCCCTGACAAATGAGGCAGTAAGTATGTATTGTTTGTATGACAAAAAGTAACAGCAGCAGCTGAACTAGTCCTGCTAAAAGATGACTGGCTTAGTTAAGAAGAGTAGGAGCTGTATCAACTCTCACAGCCACTGACACAATACAGCTATTTTTTTTCCTACATCTGTAAGATTTGCCAGAGGCATAGTGAAAAAATAATCTGCGCATAAGGCCTTACATTTACAAGATCATTCATCTCTTTCACAGCTAGCTTGCATCTTCTTTCTCAGCCTTCCTTTAGTTATTGCTCATCTAAAAACCTATCTCTTAATATCAGTACTGAGCCAGGCCCGCCATATGTTGTGCCCTAAAGTGCTTTCCATATACTCATTCAATAGTAGGTCACAGCCTGAGAAAATATAATAATACAGCCTATTGTTTTTAAGCACAACAAGGCTGAATAAAAATACACTTCTTGTTTCTTTTGTTATACATACAAAAGAGCTTTTCTACAGTCTGACTCGATAAACCCAGGACTGGAACGTTCTCACAGACAGATTAATCTCCCACCCACTAATTGTGGAAAATAGCACCCCTAAATCTGCACATGCTGTCTTTTTCTCCGGATCCAAAAATAACTCCTGGCTTGGCAGTAGTCATCTGGGATCGATCCACACAGCAGGCTCACATTTCCTTTTATCACTGTCTCTTGACTCTGCTAGGCTGCGATTCCTGCAGAGAAACCGCAGATTGTTGCTGCCCGTCCACAGCCTCGTGTGCCTGCTCACCTTCAGCCTCTCGCTGCCTCTGGCCATCAGCCTGTTCCCCCAGATGTCTCAGGTACAGTACAATGCCGCTTCAACTGCTTCTACTGTCAAGGCCAGATGGCTCACAGAGAGAAAGAGAGGAGAAAAGAGAGCAGCTGGGCGAAATTCTAATTACACATACACCACTTGACATGCACTAGTTTCACCTCTCATTCCAGATGTCTCTTCCCACGTCTGATTAAGAGTCAAAATGAATTTTTAAAGCTTTAAGACAAAGAAATGTAGAGCTTCAATTTTTACCTTCAGTCTGATTGTTTATCTTGCAGATTGAAGTGTCTTGCCTGGAGCCGGAGATCGCTATGGCAACAGATTGCAAGATGGTGACCTACAACAAGGGTCTATGATGGCTGGCGTGGAGCAGGAGAAGAGATCAGAGGAGGAGGCTGCACGGTAAAGAGCTGTCAGGGAGAGCCTCGGCTGGGTTCCTCCTGACGACAGCTGAGGGGATGCTTCTGCTGCAGTATCATAGCTGAGCGTGTATATCATGGTGTACTAACCCAGGTTTTATTTTCTAATTTTTTTAACCTTTACCAAGATCCTAGTCAATGTGTACAAATTGGGACATATTCCCTTTGTCCTTGCTGTTTTTAAGAGAATAGAAGAAGCTCTGTATATAGACATAATGATATATTTACGGTAAATCTGTTTTTTTTAGCATTAATGAAATTATTTTAATATATAGAATACAGTGTTTTCCACACACAGGCTATACTCTGTTGCCCACTCATCCAATGAAAACAAACGTGTTATAAATGCAGTTTAAACCTGCAAAAAATGACTTTCTACATAGCTGCTAAATGTTTCCCATGTTCAGCAAAGTCTTTAGTGACAGACACAGGATTTCTGAGGCACACAAGACATACAAGCTGACATTTATTTCTTTACATAAAAACATGACTGTCGTCTCACAAACATTTCCAGTGAAGAAAGATGATTGAAGAAGATTTTTACTGAGCCATTTACAGTTGTAAAAAAAACCTCATCGGTGCCCTCTGCTGCACATTTTCATTTGTCATGGGTAATGGAAATCATCTTTGTCTTTCTTGGCAAAATACACTGACCCTGATATATCTGCAATAAACTAATATCGGCACAGTTGATTTATTACTTAGGCTATTTATCACTCTGCTGTATTATCGTGACAGAGACAAAGTATATTGTTGACATGTGGGAAACACTGAAATAGATGTCAAAATAAAAGTCTTAGTTATCTCTCGGGAACAAGTCTATTTATCATCTGATGGTAGAGAAACTCTGCAATAACAATCACTATGGGACAATAAGAAGCCACTCTGTGCTGTGCATGTCTGTGGAAAAATGCAGATACTGTACTGTAGATGTTTATTAGTTACACTGTTTAATCCAATAATGTGAAATAACAAACACTGTACGTTAACTTTCTTTCCTAACTTTGTAGGACGGACATTTTACATATTGATTTTTTCTTAACCCACTGCTGTATTCCTAACGACTTCTTTTGTACAATATTTGAAACATAAAACGTACGAGCTAATATATTGTACTACTGATCATGAACTAGTATTTTTTATTATTTGGAAAATACTTATACTACATGTTTATTATATGTTTGCTAGACAAAACACTGTAAAACATCTATCTATATTATCAAAAAAATATACAATAAATACTCTTTTCTCCATTTACTTTATTCTGTGAAGACTTTATTTCCAGACTTTATTTATGTGCCTTATCCTTTTTAGATAGATACATCTCTGCTAAGGCATCACATCTGTAAATATTTATTGGATATATTGAATATAGTTATATTCTAATATATCCTGTCCTATCCTGTTTCACTTGTGACAGGATATATTAGAATAGAAAAAACAAATTCAAAATCTTAGTGATAGTATACATTAAAATTAAATGGTGCATGTCATGAGTCATTGTAAATTCACAGTTCTCTTTCCACTCTCTCAAATCCAAGACTGCACCAATATCTCCATGAGTTATTTAATGTGTAAGCAAATGGTGTGTTTTTTAAGTTTTAAGTGTGTTATTTTATGATTTTAATGTACTTTAACCTGCACATGTACAGTGTCTTTGAGCAACTTCTAATATCGCACTATACATTAAATGTGTTAATATTTAATTATACCAAAATATGTGTACTTATGCTAACTTTAGTCACCTACAATAAAGCAATGAGTTCCCAGTGTTGAGCAGTGACACACCTGCAGTGCGCATGCTGACCACCAGAGGTCGCTGCTGCTTCGCGCGGAGATAAATCGTCAGTGTCAGAGTTGAAAGGGGAAAGGTTGTCAGCAACATGGCTGCTCCCCTGGATGACATGTTTTCCTTCTGCGTGGACCCCGGTAAAGTCTCTGCCTGCGTGGATGTGAGATTTATAGACAATATCAAGGTAAGGCGGTGCAGAGTTTGTCAGATTAAAACGATTTAGAGAGATCCGGAGTTTGAATCGGCTCTGTGGCTGAGGTGTGGTGGACGCGTGTCGGCTGAGAGGGAGCATCACAGCCCGGCAGAGCAGACCTGCAGGGCTCAGGGAGAACTGAAGGAAAACATGTGGTTTATAAAACGTTTTCTGATCATTAGAGATCTGTATGTGTCTACAACTATCAGTTGTGTGCTGATTTGTACGTTAAGGGTGTCGATTTTAACCAGTAAATGTGAAATCAAAGGGACAACATCAACCGTTTTACACTATTATACTTAATATGGTGCGATGCAAAGCAAGGAACTTAGTTGCATTGTTGGAGGAGAGTACTCAATTCCTTTACTAAAGTAAAAGTACAAATGCTGTGGTCCTGAAATGCTACATTACAAGTAAAAGTACAAAAAGTACTCATTCTGCACAATGGCCCATTTCAGAATGATTTAAGGTACAGATATCTTATCAGCTAAATGGTCTTAAAGTATAAAGTAAAAGGACTGGATCTTTTTACTTTTTTATTTTAAAATGTTTATATTGTCCTGTTTTTATCAATAACTAATACATGTAAGAACATTTCACTATTGTAGTTTGTCAATGTGGAGCCAATTTAAGAGACTTAATATGATAAGTGATATGTGTTTTTAATATATTAGAAAGTAAATAGTAACTACTAACTATAAGTGTTTAACATGTAGGGAAGTAAATAATAAAGTAGCATTTAAATATAAATATTTTTCCACTTACGGTTTTCAAACACTGGTGAAAATCGTACTACAGTCATATTTTGTTGTGTCTCTTTTTCAGGGCAAGGGTCTCTTCGCCAAACAGAGTATCAAGAAGGGAGATGCCATCTTTCTGGAGCGGCCACTCGTCTCTTCCCAGTTCCTGTGGAATTCTCAGTACAAATATAGAGGTGAGATCTGGACTGTATTTAAAAACACACAAACAGTTTAGTGAAATGACAACATATTGCTGCACATATTAATTGACATAAATACAAGACATTTGTTTTGGTGCATAATAAAAAACTAGTATGGACAAGAAAAGATAACAAAACATAAAAGTGGTGTTCATTGTGGAGTTTATCTTCACAATTAACGTATCATAACCATTTGTTCGCCACTCGCTATTTGTTTTGTCTGGAATATCGAAAATCCATTGGACAAATCTCATTGGGCTTTTTGTCAAGGGAACCCGTGCAATGCTAGCTTCGTGGTTGGCCTACAGAAATAGGTCATGGACTTTTTAATTGCATCTTGCACCAATAAAGAAGCACTGAAACTGATTTTGCATTAATAATATAGTATATAGATAGTCCACACAGGGATGACAAAAGCATGAATGTTTTATCAGACTTGACTAATACTGGTTAACTGGAGGTTATTGATCTAGAATGAATCTTTAAAGACCCTAAACCAACCGGGTCTCCAGTAATGTTTTTCTCTCGCTAATCCACTATTCTTTTTTAGCCTGTGAGTACTGCTTACGTGCTCTGGAGAGTGCAGAGGAGAATGCGAGGAGACTCAGCGGCATCCCAGGACTCAGCCTCCCTCACCCTGAGCTCTGCAGGGTGCGACCGGAGAGGCACCAAGCCTGCCCGCAGTGCCAGGTGAGGCCAAACAGGAGACGGGTTGTATTGATTTCATGGACGTTGATGATAAGCCTCCATCTTTTTCTGTGGAAGTCGTCGTTTATTGCTCACTGGAGGAATATGCCCTGAAAAGGTTCAGATCAATATAAAACATATTGATTTTAAGACCTCTGTGGTCATGGAGGAACTTTCTCTGCGTCGACGGTGGGCGACACGACTAGCTGATCGATTTTAAGAGGCCAGTATTGGTACTACGGATCAGTAAGCTAATCTGTCTGCTTCTTTTTTTTTAACCCAAGGGTAACACTGTTTATGCTTGGTGGTTTCTTGTATTCACAGTATTGCATATCTGTGTAGGCCACATGTAAATAAGTAACGTTTGAACTGCCACAGAGAGCAGCCTTCATTTTATTTAATGGTTTTCAGATTAGGGTTCCTGAAGCTAATACTAATTACCTTATTTCTACACCTCATTTTCAAAAGCTAGTTAAAACGTGTTGCATAGCGCTATATGTTAAGTGATTAAAACATTCAAGTAATTAAGATTTAAAAAAGAGCAATTAAATAATAAAAAGAAAGGAAATGCAGTCAAAGCACAGAATAAATTAATTTAGGAGAATGCTTCTTTATAATAATAATTTATAATATTTTTAAATGTAAGTCTATTTTCCTCACTTTATCTGCACTACCTGCTGTTGCAATAATGTACAATTCCCCGTTGCGGGAGAAATAAAGGATTTCTGATTTGTTTAAAGAAGACATTTAAATATACAACATGGTTATGGCTATGTGCTGTGAGGGGAGTTCTTCCAAAAACATTTAAAAATGGATAGAGGTGTCCCAGCAAATGTCTTTATTTTGTGATACCTTTAGATAATGGTTATATTCATATTTCATTTAAGAAATTATATTTTAAATCTTTCCTCAATTTACGACAACAAAAGTTATTTTTTACTTGAATTAATTGCAGGTAAAAAGCCTTTTAGGTTGAACAATGCATTGTAATTAGTCATTTAAAAAAGTTTTAAAAATGCCTTTGTACATAATCTTGTAGGGTCTGTTTATTTGTAATTATTCAGTTTGTATAAAACTCTTAATTTCCTGATTCCAGGGACCTCACACAATAGTTGTTGCTAGATAATGAAGACCTGTGTTTTCAAGTTAGTGATTATGAAAATGTGTGTGGGCGAATTACCACAGAGTTTTTAAGTTTGTGGAGTTTATTTCTGTACCCGTCATCTAAAATTATTGCATTAATGTTATGTTGGTTTCTGATTGATATTTTAACCCTGCAGGTGATGTACTGTAGCAGCGAGTGCAGACAAGCTGCAGCAGATCAGTACCACAGGGCTCTGTGTTTGGGTCCCTCTCAGGAAGATCCAGACCATCCCATCAACAAGCTCAAAGATGCATGGAGGTCAGAGTTCGGTTTCATACTAAACTCTCTCAAGTTAATAATGTATTTCACCTAAAAGGAGATATGTTTTCTGTTCAGGAGTATGCATTATCCCCCTGAGACCTCCAGCATCATGCTAATAGCCAGAATGGTAGCAATAGTCAAACAGGTGAGTCTCTGATAATGTCTTTTAAACCCTTGGGTATGAATAATTTAGTGTTCAATTTAATCAGGAAGGGTGTATTCCTCGTATTAGAATCAGAATACCTTGCTGTAAAAGGACATAACATCCCTATGTCATTTTGATTATTACCAGCCATAATATTTTGATATTTACTGACAAATACAGAAAATACTCTGATAAACCTGCTGTATTGTAACTTCTCAGCACAACACAATACAGCATTGAGTTTCTAAAGAGACAGATATGTATCTCAGTAGATGGGGAGACCAAAACAGAGCGAACATGGACTTGTATTCATAATATTGTCATAAACTGTAAATTAATGCTAATGCTGCCCAGAGTGTATACAGACAACTATTTGCTGACCGTTCAGCATAACAACTTTATAAGTTCTGATATGTTATTGTAATATTACACATGTGTAAGCAAGATATACTGTAATGCTCAAAATTAACTTCTTGAATAACTGAGTGATGCAATGTTTTTGCTAAATGTTTACTTGGTTGTTGTCCAGGCCAAGGACAAAGCGCAGTGGCAGAAGCTGTTTTCACACTTCTGCAGCCGGACAGGTAATGAGGAAGAGGAGATCGCCCATAAGCTCCTAGGAGAGAAATTCAGAGTAAGTGACCATGAAGTGATTTCTGCTTGAAATATATGAAATTGTTGATGTGCAAAATGTATGAAGTCTGGCAGTTAAAAGAGAATATCATGCTTTTATGCTAATCGCAGTTGTTTACGACTCAATAAGCATAGCGTGACAATGTTGCCCCTCTAGAGAGAAGTTTAACTCCCACTG